TTGAGCTAAACATATGATTGATTTACAAAACATTTGATTTTTTTTGTAAAAATCTAATAAAATGATGTTATAAAAGTGATTTGAAAACTTTATAATTACAGTAAATGTAAAGTGTATTAACAATGAATTGTTGATGAAATACAACACACATTCACAATAGTGAAAGACTTGGAGTAAAGGCAGTTGTGTTTTGAACACCACTTTTTCTCTATTGTTGAGCCGATCCACTGGCGCACAGACACAACAGCACCGACACCGACACCACATAGAGAACCAATACATAGAAAGTGAAAATATCTCGTATAGGGATTGCATTACAAGTAGCTATAGTAGTGTACAGTATAACAGGCAATAGATGAATGTTAGTCAATAGGTTTTACTTGAAATATAACAATCGATTTCTAACTTTTTTACTGCTATTACATATCAAATGGCTATACATATGGGTCGACCCTTTCATTCAAATGATTGTCACTCTATTATTATTTTATCAATTTTTGTCTTACATAAAGTCAAATACAATAAAAAAAATTTAAATTAAATTCACAGAATTTACAAATGTTTACTTGTATTACAAATAGATAGACAAGCCATTCAAAAATACTGAATAAAATTGTATTATTTGTATTATATAGTCAATATTTCATAGCATTAAATGTATTGTACTAAAATACTACAAACTTTAGACTTTTATCTAATATAAATTAAATTAATCAATTAAAACCAATCATTTATAAGTAATTAAGTTTAAATGTTTAGTATTGTGGTATACTATGCTAAAAGAATTGAATAGAGTAATGCAAACTTATTTGTTAGTATTTATATAAAATAAATAATATAATTTATTATAGATTAATGTAAATCAATTGTAAAATATAAGAATTCATTTTAATACTCAAATATTTATACAATAATTTTATTAAAGATTAATATAAATTATTAGTTATAAAATTAAAAATGTCTATTAGCTTAAAATAATACTGTAATATAAAGCAAGTTTTTAAAAAATTTAAAAATATTAATTTTAGACAATAGTTTTCTGTAATTTTAACAACATTTATTAAAAGACATTTTATTTTCTTTATGTTTTATTCAAATTTTAAGTCAGAATTTTAAAATTGAAAAAACTGCGACAGACATACAGTCAGACAAATAGCAGTAATAGACTTTTAAAGTTGTTTTGATGACGTAAATTATACTGTATTTGTTAATATTATATAATAATATATTTTGTTAAATAAAGTATTAGCCGTTTTTGTTGAGTTCGTGCAAAACTTTTGCAATAACTGTATTGTTTCACAATAAGTGCATTGCATTGCAAGTGATGGGTCGGCAAATAAATGTTATTAAAACTCATCGATAAAGTAATTCTTTACTATAGTATGTATACAACTATATAAAGTATATGTATATATATTCTAGTATTACATTGTTTGCTATCAAAAATACAGTGCTTGAGATCACACGATAATAGATTGAAAGAGAAAATAAATAAAACAAATAATGACATCGGTTTGAGTGCATTAAGGAAATAATGAATTGATTTGATTTGCTTTGACATATGTATATCAATATTAGATTATATACACAAAACAATCTAATTTATATATATATATATATATATATATATATATATATATAATCTGTAGTATACATAACAGTAACTATTATTATTATTATTATTAAGTTTTTTGCTATTTTTATGTCTGATTTGCAACTTTCTGGTATTTAATATACATTTTAGTAAAAAATAAATTTTATTATTATACAAACCAATTATAAATTACAGTGTATTAAATTTTTACAAATTGTATGAAAAATATATTAACTAATATCAATAAATTTAAATTATTTATCTACATATATATAATTATACATATAAATATTATTAATTTTTAATTTATTTGTAAGAATTTTTTTGACTAAACATGTGTAGTTTACATTACATTGTTGTTTTATTCATCACACAAAATATTTTATATAAATATAAGTTTAATAGTTTTAATCTAAATGATAAATTATTCAACGATAACAAAATATACAATATATACTTATTTTCGTACAGTATTTGACTTATTTTTTATTTAGTAGCAATAAATTCATATTTAAAATTTCTTTTAAAATTGTCATTAAAGTAAATGATTTTATGTTATTTTATGATATATTACATATTCAAATACAGTACGTGTCATAATGTGATATATTAAATATATTGTATAATAATAAACTGTTTTACAGTATAGTTATAAAATGGATATTCAATTAAATAAATAGATTTAAAATGTAATAAATTATACTTTGCTTTCATTAATGACTAGTTTTCCATTCATTTCCTGAAATGACACTTCATTTCAAAACATAGGACAGTCATTGTTGACAAAAATATATTATATTAAAGTTAGACATCATTTAGTTAGCCATCACTTCCAGTTTTGTCAGCTCTCATGTGATTAGTTTCTCATTAGACAACAGTTTTTTACATCAAACAAGATATGAGTTATTAGTTATTTTTATCAAATATCTATAATATTATATTAATACCTTATATTGAGATAACAAAAATAAAATTGATCGCAACCTACCTGAGCCCAAATCCGCATTAATATTGGTCATACAAATTTTGTATTGTAGTTAACATATCCATTATTAGCGAAACTTATTATTGAATATGTATTTAGTTTGTTGTAAGAGTCAGAGTCTCATTATAAATAAATAGTAGATAAACATTATATATATATATATATTAATATATATATCTACTAATATACTGTATATATTTTTATTATATACAGTATACAGTAGTATGTATTTTATGAACCTTATCTTCAATTATTTATACAATACATCACAAATACTAATAATGATATTTTATATTTAATATCGATTTTTTGATTTTACAAAAATTTAGTTACTTTGGAAAAGTTTTATTCTTAAAGTTATTTTACGTCAGAAATATAATTTTTATTCATATGTATTCACATATATATCGTATTATTTATAAAAACTAAAAATTTATAGATAGGTTATAATGAATATAAAATTTATATTATATAATACTTGAACTAAAATATATATTAATATTGTAGTATCAATTGTAATTATTTGATTTTATTATTAGAAAAACTAATATTAAATCAATCAATCATAATTGCAATTATTTTTTAAAATTTATATTTTATTAACTTTTAAAATTTTTATATTTTCAAATTAAGTCAATAATATTAAATTCCATATTTTTCACAATAAAAATTTTATTTAGCCATTAACTATTTTAACTATTACATATTTTTAAAAATATGCTTCTATAAATTTAAAAATAATAAATACCATTAATAATCTAAATTTTTATTTGCGTGTAATATTTGTTGTGAAACAAAAATTGAATGATTAATAAAGCATAGTTCAAACGTAAAAAAACAATTTTTAAAATTTTTTGACATTTTCCTTCAATAAATAATTGTATATTATTTTTTAAAAACATTTAATATTTCTATTTTTAACATTTTTATAGGTTAGGTAGTTATAGCAAAGATTAGCTCAGCAATGGTAGGAATCGGTAGTTTAGTTAATGACTTTTTTGATGGACTAAAATCCGTTGTCAAAAATATTATAATTATTATAAAAAATTAAATTATAAAATGGTATTTTTATTCAATATAGTAAAATATACTATATACAGTATTATTTAATTTTACATATTTAATAGTATCACAAACTAGCATCATAAACTAAATATTTTAATAAATAACTTTTAATACAATAAACAAATATATAGTATTGTAATGTTTGTAGTTTTATTATTCTTTATATCAAATATTTTTAAAATATCATATCAATGTATATCAAATTATTTGTTCATTACTTACTTAACTACATTTTGTTGATATAAGTATTTTATTTTAATACAATTTTTAATGTAATATCTATTGTATTATATAATATATTTAATAACCCATTCATAATGGCATTCATTTGTTTATAAATAATTAATATTAAAGATTGTATATATTTTGATTTATTTAACTATAATATTGTTTCTATTAAATGTTATATTCCTTGTGTTTTCAATATGTAAAAAAATCAAAATATTATAATATATTTATAATAAAAGAAATACTTGAATATCTAAAAAATAAATTACAAATTAGTTGCCAACACTTTTTGTATTGTATTATATTCAGCACATATTAATAAAAATTTAGTAATTACTAGATTTGTAAATCAAGTGTTTGAATAAATTTAACAAATGAATGAACAAATTTTGAAGCATTCAATGATTGAATCACTGATTTTATTAAATAACGAATTCTCATCTCTATTTTAATACTTAATACTTATACTTATACTGTACTGTATATACATTAATATAATATAATATAATTTAAATTGTGTTCTAATATTATATATGATGTACAGTAAGTTAATGCGTTATAATATAAGTATACATAACGATACAGAAAACAATTTATTTTATAGAAAAATTCAATAAAATGAGAACTATTTGTGAAACTATTGTTTTTATAATCATTTTAAGCAAAGTATAATTTGTTGGATAAAACTTAATAAATATATTAATGATTTAATAGATCATTCACTTGACTGATAATTCATTAGAAATTGCGACAAATAAAATGGATATTTTTCATTTAAATGCCTTTATTTAAATAAATTAAATTTTTTGACAATCATTTTTAATAGTCGTCTTAAATCCAAAAAATACTATATATTCTAATACCTGATAAAATAAAAGTACGGAAATTTATTAGGAGTTTAAAACTTAATTGATTAAAAATTTTAATAAATTATACAGTATTATTAGATTGTGAATTGTTGTTTATTTTAAAATTAGATTACTATTCAATAAATAACTTTGCTTGAATAAAAAATTGATTACATTTATGAATATACTGTATATTTATAGTTATTTATATATTGAAATTTTCATGTAATGTTTAAAACTTTCGTTAAAACATATAAATAATCTAAAATTATGATGAATTTTAGTTTACAAAAACAGAATTATCATTTGAATGAGTGCTATCAGTAATAGTATTGTCATTGTTGTCAACAATTGGTTCATTTCCATTGTCTTGTGTTATGTTCTGTTCGATTTGTTGTTGTTGTTGTTGTTGACTATTGATTACTTGATTTGTCGATTCATTGGTCACAGTATTACTACTCGATAAGGTAACTGTTCGTCTATCGGATCGCTTCTCTTCAATTATAATCGGATTTATTGTCACAGTTTTAGTACAATTGTATGTCTTATAAATGCCAACTAAACGATCAGCCAATTCATACATATTGTTTCGCAACGATATTATAATAAATTGTGTGTTTCTTGTTCTTTGTTTAATATAATTGGCGACAATCGACACATTTTTGAAGTCGAGTGCGGCATCAATTTCATCCATAACGTATAGCGGCGATGGCTTATAATAATGTAAAGCAAATATAAGTGCCAATGAAGACAATGTTTTCTCTCCTCCCGATAAATTGGATATCTTTTTCCACGACTTCTTATTAGGTCTGACGGCAAATGTCACGCCTTCGGAAAATGGATCCAATGAATCAATGAATTCGAGTTCAGCGTCGCCACCCATTGTTATCATTCGATACATTTCTTTCAATTTTCGAGCAATTGTTAAAAATCCGTCTTTAAATTCTTTGACTCGCATTTCTCGGACCTCTTCATATTGACCTTTATAGGCGTCTCTTTGTGATGTAATATCCGATAATTCTTGAGCTCTCTCCAGAAACACGGTCTCCTTTTTCTTATATTCTTCAATGGCAGCCATATTTGGCTTCATTTTCTTCAAATCTTTGTCGAGATTTTCAATGATCTTTTGTAATGAATTTGGATTTAAATTTTCTATTTCTTCTGAGTTTAGTTCAGGTATCAAAGGTCTAGATTTGCCATCGATTTCATGTGGATTAAGTTCATTGATTTTTAATGTATAAGAATTGACTTCGGCTTCTTTTTCATCGAGTTTTATCTTTTGTTGTTCGACCTCATGTTTTGTGTCCACATTTGCGTTATTCAGTTTTGCCTCTTCTGTCTTCAATTTACTTATTTTGTTTTCAATTGTTTTTATTTTTTTAATCGCTTCTTCTTTTTCATTAACCGCCTGTTCATAATTGTTCGTCACTTCTGTGGCCAATACTTCTAATGTTTTGAGTTCTTCTTTAGTTGTCGTTAAAGTATTTATTGCTTCGTTCATCTCTTCTTCAAATGATTTGATTTTTTCTTTACATTTTTCAATATTTCTTTCAGACGCTATCAGATCGCTGTTAGCTTTATTAAGATCTGTTGTAATTTTCTTCAATTGACTTTTAAGTTCATTCACTTTTTTGCGAGCAGTTCCTACTTTCTTGTCCATAATCTCCTTAATCTTATCATTCAATTCTTCGAGTTCTTCATTAAATTTGGAACACTTTTGTTCTTCTTTTTCATACTTTTTGACTTCAGTTTGATGTTTATTTTCGAGTTCTTTTACCCGATTGGCATCGGGTGCCGCCATTTTAACCTTTTCCTCTTGTTCTTTGATGGCACGTTTGAGATCAGTTTGCATTTTATCGAACTGATTGACTTCCATTTCAAATTGTGGTTTATTTTGTTTCATTATTTTGATATCTTTAGACAACCTTTCGACGTCTATTCTTAAATCGTCTAATCTATTGTTTGTTTCATTAATTCTATTCTTTAATTGATTGACTTCTTCTTCGAGATCTTTGATTTCTTGTTCGTCGACTTGAGTCATGGCAACCGATGATCCAATTCTACCGGTAAAAGGTCGTCCACCGCCAGACATAGTACCCGTTGTTTCACAAAGTTCTCCTTTAAGAGTAACCACTCGATATCGTTTGTTACTGTTCTTTGGCGCCGATATCCTATGAGCCTGTTCTAAGTCTTTTGCAACTAAAGTATCTCTTAATCCAAAATAAAAAGCAACTCTAACTCTCTCGTCATTAACTCTAATTAAATCAAAAAGACGTGAAACTCCTTCGGGATAATCTTCAGATTCTGGTATTTGATAAAGTCTTTCACTAATTTTATCCAATGCCATAAATTTTGCAAATCCAATGTTATTCTTCTTAAGAAAATCTATACATTCTGTACCGTTATCTATGGTCTCAACAACAATGTTATCGAGTGGACCACAAGCAGTTGAAACGGCGCAATCATACTGGGCATCGACTGCACCCAAATCACCCAAACGACCCAAAATACCTTTAAGTTTGCCTTTTCTTTTCTGTTCCATCAATGCATTTAATACTCTATTCCTTGAATTCATGTCTTTCGCAGAATTTAATAGACTTTGCAAATGATTGTTACGATTAATATAGTCTTCAGTCAATTTTGATTTATTGTGTTCAAGTTTAGACATATTATCGGTAAACTCTTTCAATTTATTCTCAGCCAAAGGTATCTCAGTTTCAAAGCGTTGAAGAGCTTCTCGTTTGTCTTTAGCGTCGGAGGTATTCTTATTTAATTTACTCATCATTTGCTGTAGTCTTGATTTCTCATTTTGTTCGGCACTTAAATAGAGATCAAGTTCTTGTTTGGCAATTTCCATACGAGAACGCGATTCGTTGACACCTTTTTGCAATTCAAGTAATTCTCTTTCGATGACATCTTTTCTTTTCTGTAGCGGTTCTGTGTCTCCCTTGATCTGTCCCATCACTTCAGTCAAGTGCTCGTCCGCTAACTTTAAATCATTTTCTGATGTTTGCTTCTTTTGTGTCAACTTTTCAATATCTTCTTTGTATTTGTCGGGCATTTTAAGTAATTCTTCTAATTTTTTATTATCTTCTTCAACGGTTTTCTCCAGAGTTTTACCCTTAGATTTGATATTTTTGACTTTACCTCTCAGTTGGACATCACGTCCTTCACATTCTTTAAACTTTTCATTCAAAGAATCACATTTTTTAACGATTAAACTAAACTCTTCTTTCATGTGATTTTGTTCCGCTTCAGATGTTTCTCTCTGTTGTTTTAAATCATTGCATTCTTGCATAGCTTTATCGTAAGCATCTTTAGCTCTATTATAATCACTTAAAGCTTTATCTTTTTCATTGTTGGCTTCGTGTCTATACATCTGATAAAGTTTGCTCTTCTCAAACATGATGTCATTCTCAGCCTCTAAGAACTTGATGGCCTCATTCTTGGCATCTTCTAATGTCTTCAGTTCTTTCTCAACCACTTTAACTCTATTCATTTTTTCCGCTCGAATCTCATTATATTCTTCTACTTTAAGCGATAATTGATTCAATGGTTCCTTTAAACGTGTTGTCCCAATAATGTCTTCCAAGAACTCCAACATTCCCGACTCATTTTCATTATCGGCCTTTGGTTTCATTAGAGCTATCTGTTCGACCTCTCCTTGAAGTATAAGAAACCGATTGTAACGCAAATCAATTCCATGCGATTGAAGTAGTTTTGAAACTTCTTTAAACTGAACCCTTCGGTCATCAATACAATAATATGAACTGTTGTCCCGATTAGCCGTACGACTCACAGTAAACTCGGAACCGCTAATAATATCAAAGTCGTCTCCGATCTGACAAAACAAAACCAATACGTTATCGATAATTATAATCATTTTTAGTCATCAAATGTTATACTTTATCGTTGATGAGTGCAAAGTGAACAATGACTTTACAATACGACAAATCAGGATAAGTGTCACTGCTATGAATCAAACCACTCAACTTCTTTAACCGAAGTTTCTGAGCTCTGTATCCAAACACAAATAACATGGAATCAATTACATTGGATTTTCCGCTGCCATTTGGTCCTACAATGGATGTAAAACTCTGTAATATAAAAATGTCAACAAAATCGGTGAACACAACAAACAAATTGATAACAAACCTTATGAAAGGGTCCCAACACTTGTCGGTTGGCGTATGACTTGAAGTTAATATTTTCGATGTTTGTGATCACCAAACGGATTCCCGTGTCTTCACCGCTGTAAGTGGGTTTTGCCGGTGGGGGCGGGATATAGATATCACCGATACCTTACATAAACAGACAAAACCAATGACCGATTGTCACCACAAAAGTAATGCAAAAAACACTTACGTCTTCCTCCTTCTTCGTCGTCAAATTCATCGTCCAATTCCTGGTCGTCGACTATCTGTTGGTCGCCGACATCGCCATTGCTTTTACTAATACTTTGATTATGTTTGTTGCCCTTCATTTCAATTGTTTATCACACAACTAATCCATAAAAACAAAACAACATTCAAACCATTGACACGAATGGCGGGAAAAGTCATGAAAAGCAGTCTTTCGGTGAAGAGTTTGCTATTAAGTTATGACGTCATTTGAATTGACATCACGTGACACATGATATATAGATTGGATATCACGTCATGTGATTACATGACTATTGAAAGCTTGAAACCTATTGTAAGTTATAATACTTATAAATAAATAAAAATAAATATTAAACAAAAGTTAAAATACATTTAAAATAAATATTGAAAACACATTATAATATTACAGTTGATTTAATACTGCATTACACATACATATACAACGTTACCAAACAATAAAATGTCAAATGACTTATACTTACCATATGTTTGTTGAAACAAAAGAGGGAACAAAACATAGATTGTATTAATAGTCATAAGTTTATGAATGACTCATACAAATGTTAACATCTCTACATTTGAATGCATTGATCTCTATATAAATAGAATGTCCACTGTTTTGAAAACATTGTTTTGAAAGTAATTTCAATCGAAATATTAAAATCAATGTAATGTTAATAATGATTGAAATGATTGAGTGATTTAGCATTTAATTCAATGAAATGACAATAGAATGCAAACTATTTGTTAAACATATATTAAATGACTATTAGTTTATCACTTAATAGACAACAAATGAGTGAAACATATTATAACTGTTTATTTGAAACCCAGTTATGAAAAGATTGAATCGATTTGTTATCAATAAGATGTCACTAATATATACATTACTGTCCATTATATCACTGGCTTTCGGTAAGTAATGACCGCAAACTGTGTTTGAATTGATATAATAAGTATAGGATGTGTTGCAGTGTTGTCCACATATAACCATTTGGTTAACTCAGTTGAAGACGACTTGTCATTTGAAAACCAAAATCTTAAGACAAAATTGAAAGATTTAGAGAAAAGAGTGACCACTTTGGAGCAAAATGTTGGCCATAAGTATCCCGAAGTGAAACACTTGTCATACGCTGATCGCCGGCGTATTTTAGTGACCGGTGGCGCCGGCTTTGTCGGCTCACATCTTGTGGACAGACTTATGATCAATGGTCATGAAGTGACTGTTGTGGACAACTTTTTTACGGGTCGTAAAAGAAATGTTGAACATTGGTTTGGACACAAAAATTTTGAACTGATTCATCACGATATTGTCAATCCATTGTATATAGAAGTGGATCAGATATATCATTTGGCTTCACCGGCATCTCCACCACATTATATGTTTAATCCCGTGAAAACTATTAAGACAAATACCGTCGGTACTATAAATATGTTAGGTTTGGCCAAACGTGTCGGCGCTAAGGTATTAGTTGCCTCTACTTCCGAAGTGTATGGCGATCCAGAAGTGCATCCTCAGAGTGAAGAGTATTGGGGACACGTGAACCCAATTGGTCCGCGTTCTTGTTATGATGAGGGCAAACGTGTAGCTGAATCACTGTCATATGCTTACGCTAAACAAGAGAATGTATCGGTAAGAGTGGCCAGAATTTTCAATACTTATGGCCCGAGAATGCATATCAACGACGGCCGAGTTGTTTCCAATTTTATTTCTCAATCACTTCAAAACCACTCAATAACTGTTTACGGATCGGGTCGACAAACCCGTTCCTTTCAATACGTTACTGATTTAATTGATGGACTTATTGAACTCATGAATAACAACATAACACTTCCCGTTAATTTAGGCAATCCTGAAGAATATACAATCGATGAATTTGCTTCTGTGATCAAACATTTAGTGGGAATTACAAGTAGTGATATAGTTTATAAAGACAGTGTAGAGGATGACCCTCAGCGTCGTAAACCTGATATATCTCGTGCCATAAAATATCTTAATTGGTTTCCAAAAGTGTCACTTAAAGAGGGACTTAAACGGACTATTGATTATTTTAGACAAGAGTTGCTTCACGCAAATGCTCAAGAAGTTGATTCACTTCAGTTTAATCATATGTTTGCTTAAAATTTTTATTTTAAATGTTATGATTTTAATATCATGTTAGCGGTGAACAAAAAAACACTAAAAGATATGTTATGTTTGACTATTATTCAAATACCAGATGAGCTTTACTTTTAGTCTGATTTTTATTGTATTTTTACAGAATTTTACATTATATTGAATTCTTAGATTGAATATTTGAATAATTATTTTTAAATAATAATTTTATGAATGAATTAACAATTTTAATTGATTATTATATGAAAGTCATGTTTATAATACTTATCACATTTACAATAGACATAATGCGTGTTTTGATGTATAGTATACACTCTATAAGCATAAAATTGTGAATAATGTAAAATTTATTGTTGATAACTTAATATTTATAAAAAAATATGTATATTTATATTATTAAATATTAGATTTATACAAATTGTTGTAATTTGGACATTAAAAATTAATATTTTAAAAATATGTATTTAATGCAAATAACAAATAAAAATATTTTCACTAAATTATATATCATTAATAATGTACTACTGTATAGTACAATACAAAGTTTATCATATAATTTAAATTTGTATACTTAATGTACTTTTCTTATAATTTATATATTTTAAACGTGATTAACATTTATATCTAATCCGGTATTTAAAGCAAATTGTATGTTTGGTTTACCGTTAAATAAATATTGATATTTTAAATGTGAAAAATTAAAGAATATTCTCAGGAATATACTGTACTGTCAGTCATATAATTAACATAATAGTATAATAATTAAATTACCAGTCAATCGACAATTAAAACTAATAAATTTATATTTACATAAAATGATGTCTATTTTAGACAAATATTAACAATAGTAGTGAATATTAATAAAAATAGATTTGTCAACAAATTTAGACAAATACTCGTATTTATACTATAATAATGACATTATAATATAGGTTACAATTATATTATGTATTTATCACATAACAAATTATGGTGTTTTAAAAGATTATTTAAGTGTATAATACTATACATATGTATACTTGAATTGATGCCAATTTATGAAGAGATGGTATCAAACAATGAGAGTCTGGTCTTATAGTTGTCTAACAAACAGTGCAATACTTGTAATGTATTATAGCTTTGACTGTATTTTGCAAAGCAATCGAAACATTGATTTTTTCATCCCTTATGTTATGTAATGTATTGAGTATTGCATTGAATGTTGTTTTCGTCAATTGTATTGACATTTGATTGATTGCACCGTTAGATGAATGGGTGCACGAAATCGGAAAAACAGTGGCCACCAAAGTGGTCACACCCATAGCAAACCTAAAGGCAAACGACTTGACAAAAGTCATTCAACAAATGATGTGTTGGCCAACAAATCGATGCCACCGATAGTCAAATCAATCAACAATAAGACTAAGTATTACACATTTTATATCATATCTTTGCTATTATCACCACTTGATTACCATATGTTTTGTTTGAAAGTGAAAAGAGAGATAATTCAGTTCACCATTTGTTGGGTCCATGGAGTCCATCGCCGTCGACGGCATTTAAAGCCTTATTATCGGCCCGACTATCGGCCGCCGTGTGGAACAACATAAGTGATTGCGACGAGACATTCAATTACTGGGAACCGACTCATTACTTGATTCACGGCTTGGGTTTCCAAACGTGGGAATATTCACCACTTTATGCCATCCGTTCGTATGCTTTCCTCTGGATCTACGCTTTACCGGCATTTATATACACACATCTCATACAAACTAATCAATTGCTTGTCTTTTATTACACCCGATGTATACTTGCCTTTTGTTGTGCTCTCTGTGAGACATATCTCTATCGGTTAGTTATCTCATTATTTTTAATTGTTTTGTTCTTTTAATCCATAATTTTGTTTTGAGTTTAAACTGAATATTACCTATACTTTAAATTATAAATATAGAGGAATATTACGTCAATTTGGACCATCAATTGCACGACTGTTTCTATTGTTTATGGTTTTATCAAACGGGATGTTCATATCGTCGACAGCATTCCTCCCGAGTTCGTTCTCCATGTATATGACAGCTCTAACATTTGGTGCTTGGCTTCAACAACACCACAAGATTGTTATATTAACACAAGCAATAAGTTCGCTCATTGGTTGGCCATTCACGGCATTACTCGGTCTTCCCATTGCTATTGAGATGTTGATCAACAAAAAGAAGCGATTTTTTTTCGCCAAGTGGTCGGCTATTATCGGTTTATCGATTTTGGTAAATACAAACATTTCTAATTTATTATTAGTTGTAATTATTATTTAAAAAATTGATCATTTTATTTATTCAATTTCGATAATATAGTTACCATTAGTGTTGATAGACACCTATTATTATGGGAAGTTAGTGTTAGCACCGCTCAATATCGTATTATATAACGTGTTTAGTAAGCACGGTCCTAACCTATACGGTACTGAACCCTGGCATTTCTATTTCATTAATGGTTTTCTTAACTTCAATCTCGTGTTTATTTTATCTTTGGCATCACTTCCGGTTATGGTACCATATAATTGAATTTTATCATATTATATATTTGTAACTACTATTACTGTATTAACATTAATAATTTGATGTATTTTTTTATTTTCAGGTCATTTGCAAGCTATTAGTGAAGTCAAAGAGAAATATAGTAAATTCAAGTCATATAATATGTGTGACTTCACTGTTGCTTTGGTATCTGGTTTTCTTCAGTCAGCCCCACAAAGAAGAGCGCTTTATATTTCCTGTCTATCCATTGATATGTTTGTCCGCCGCATTTGCCATAGAAATGGTTCAAAAAGCATTGGTCGCTATTATCCCCCGATTAACTTATTTCTATTCGTCTCTAGTCTTAGTTTTTGTGATTATATTTGCATTTTTGTCGATATCTCGAGGATTAGCTCTTTATAAAGGTTTTATTCGGATACTGTATGAAAAATATGTAAAATATTAATAGTTTTTTTTAAATAAATATTTAGGATATCACGCGCCACTCGATATTTACATGGATTTGGGTCGCGTTCACAACGATTACAATATTTCGAGCCTCAAAACACCAGTTAATGTTTGTGTTGGTAAAGAGTGGTACCGATACCCATCCAGTTTCTTCTTGCCTTCAGTCCAACACTGGAAGTTACAGTTTATTCAATCAGAATTTCGGGGACAACTCCCACAACCATACAATGGTGGCACTCGAGTCATACCTTCGAATATGAATGATCTCAACCGGGAAGAGCTCTCCCGTTATATACAAGTAGCTGATTGTCATTTCCTGATCGACACCGACGCCACTGAATCTACTGACTTAGAGCCGCAATTTTCGCGAGACTACGACCATTGGGAAGTCCTGCAATCGCTACCATTTTTGGATGCAAAGAACTCGCCGACACTGTTTCGGGCCTTTTATGTGCCATTTGTCACAGAATCCAAATGCAATTTTGTTGACTACAATTTGCTACGAAACAAACGATTTAATTTAACTAATAATGACACTTAAGTATTATAATATCTGCACTAATGTATAGGTGTTATAATACTTGTATTTCATTTAATGATAACTGCAATATAATTGTAATTTATTTGTCAATTTATTACAATTTCAACTTCACTTATAATAATATAATTTGATATGAAATGTGATGACAAATGTCTATCAAATTGATCCCAACTATAACAATGACCTCAACTAATTGTAATTTATTATTTAGTTTTGTAATACTTATATATACATATATACCAGTAATGTCATTATTAGGATTTTTACAGCGAAATAATCATTTAATAAGTTTTTTAAGTTAAAAGATTTGGCGTATTATTCTTGCATTTATGAAAACTATATTTTTATCAAATGATATCTTTTTAATATAAGATATCAAGAGATGATATCATTAGTTATTTAATAAATTATTCATAAATTAGTTATATATATAGTCTGTAGACATGAGAGAGTAATGCAATGTTTAGTCACTTTAGTGAATGTAGTGTTTATGTGGAGAGAGTGAGAGTCAGTGCAATGAATCACTCAAAACATATGCCAAACATTTGTTTATATGTTTGACATTCAATTGTATAACTATTTGATGGCATATATGGCATAGATATCATTGATTTCATTGATTTATTTGTATTATAATTTGTATTATTTGTTTGATTGAATAAAAAACATTAAAAGTAAACACAAATGGAGTGCTTATTATGTATCCGACGGTGTTTTGGTATGTCTGGTCAGACACGCTATTCACTAGTTAAGGACCAATTGATCCCTAAAGTGATTTTGGACACAACAACTATGGGTACCACAACTACAGTATATGATTTCAATCACTGACTAATTACTAATACATTTATTAGGTAATGATGTGGTGATCGTTAAGAGAGGTCACCGAATCTGTGGCACTGGTGGTGCTATCACTACAACACCGATAGTTCAAAATAAGGCATATTTTGAGGTCAAAGTACAGCAAACGGGTCTGTCTTTTGCCAGAATAAACATTAATATAATGTAATTAATAATGAATTGTATGTATCGTCAAAACAGGCATTTGGGGCGTAGGGTTGGCCACAACTAATGCCAATCTAAGTTCAGTTCCCTTAGGAGTCGACAGTCAGAGTTGGGTCTTAAGACAAGATGGAACAGTAGTGACTGAAAATCAAATACTTCATACATTTAATGAAGACATACAAGAAAGTGACATAATTGGTGTCACCTATGATCACATTGAACTCAAATTTTATATCAAAAATAAATCAATTGATTTTGCTGTCAATGGTGTCAAGGGCTCCGAAATATATCCTGTTGTCTACGTAGACGATGGCGCTATACTTGATGTCAATTTTACGAACTTTCAATTTGATCCTCCCTTTGGTTTTGATCGCATTCTTGTCGAAAAATCATTACTTTAGGAGTTATTACTTTATACCTTCCTTTTACTTAATTTTAATTTTGTAATTACCGGTAGTTTTTCATTTACACTTAAAACCTGATCTATAGTTTTTACATCAATTATTTGTTCAAATGTATGCAAAGTTTATTTTGACAATTATTTTTATTTTTGTACATATGATCTGTCCTTTTATTATTGAATTATTACAAATAATTATTAACAAAATAATGAATTAAACAAATAATGGAAATATCATATTTAGACAAAAAAAATCATTATTTTATAAAAAAAATTACATAAACATATATATAATTAATTTAAATAAACAAATATGTGTTTAATGTTTAGTTTGGTGTTCCTCTTGTTTAGCTCTAATCATATCTTTAAATTGAGACAATATTTTGGTCTCTCGTATGGTTCGCTCTTCTTTGTTAAACAGAGCCAATGCTCTCTTCTCGTCCGCCGAATAAATCTGATTCTCTTTCCTGAGACGAACCGCTTCCATACGTCGGTGACGACTACCAGACATAACATATCCAACATTTTCAAATGAGTCAATTTCTTCAGATGTCAGACCAATTTCACCTCTTCTGGGAATACGTTTTCCTTCAGCAATGAAGGCGGCCATTGCCGCTCCTTCACCGGGCAATAGAGCTCTACCAAAATCTTTTTGGTTCAACTGAACCGCTGACTTGGGCTGTGGTCCAACCATATCGTCTTCTTCTTCATCCATTTCCATTCTTTTCTTCTTTTCATTTAATTCTTTGATAAATTTCTCTTCTTCTTCATTGTTATATCTGTTGTATTCATTTGTAATCACATTCTTGTCTTTTTTATATCTGTCTCTTGAGTTACTTCTTTTCCTTTCCTTGTTTCTTGACTTTCTATGTTTGTGCTTCTTATGCGATGTCTTATCTTTTTTCGACTTTTTACTGCTCTTCTTGTGTTTCTTATTTTTCTTATCTTTTAGTCCATCAGTTGAATCTGACTCCGATGTCGACACACTTCGTCGTTTACCTACTACTTTGCCATCAGTAGACATATCAGAGTCATCAATGTCTTCATGTCTTGAAGACAAATGTCCCCAAACACTGATAACTCCGGATTCGCCAATCGATTCTCTTTTGAGTCTTCTTGTGGTCCAAAAGTCCTCATTAATGTGATTATCATTGTATTTATGACGATATTTGTCTGAATTGTGATTTTTGTGATAATCAGGTGAGGGTTCACGTCTTCTTCGATGACGATGTGATTCTGAGTCATACGAGTGATAGTGGTGTCGGTCAGTGTCTCTAATCGGTGAATGTCTGGACATAACTACCGAAATGACAACAAAACGTTTGCAAACAAAACATATATACTTTACAGTAATGAGGGGACTGTCTCCTCATTGAATTTCATTAGTTACTAATTCTAAGTTAAGATTATGATATACAGTATAAAAATAATGCATTTATTAAAATTGATAAATTAATTGTTTTTTAAAACTTATAATTATTTATTAACTCTAAATTATTGTCTTCTCTATTACCACTATCTATAGTCCTAAATGCAATACAATGATTGATTCAATAGTACTGTAAACAACCAATTATTACCATAAATTACTGGTAATTATTGCTACAATTTATAAGTATTCAAAATAATTATACAAATATACCAAAATTGAAATTTATTTTATTTTATTATTCAAATACCAAAAAATTGACAGATTTTATTGAATTAAATTTAAATAAAATATTGATTTAAACGTTAATATTACTGATGATTCGGTAGAGTTCATCAAACTTATGGATTTGTCTCAAAAACCAGTCACCATAACGTCGGGCAACTTTAGTGTCAGCGATATGTATCATATCCTTGAAAAATACAAATAAATTTACGGTTATATAAATTGTTTAAAATAACAAACTAATTGTAAACCTTTTCGATATAGAAGTCAACATCAGATCCCGAGTGAAACTCTCCGTCGAGACCCGACTGTCCTTTAGTCCAAACAAGGTTTTGCATCTTATGTTTAAAGCAAAGCAAATTGCGTTTAAACTCATCTTCAGGCAAATCAACAAAATTAGCCAATTTCTCGATAGGCATTGTTGTGTATAGCTTTAGATAAGAGCGGATCTCCATAAGCGGGTGTTGTTGTTTAACTTCATCAAGAAACACTTTCATCTGATGTTTCCACGGATCAATTTTTGGACCCGAGGGTTGATTTGAAAGTGGATTATCATAATGACCGACCACTGGTGACAGAAATTTAGGACACGACAGTTTAAAGACATTTTCAAACTCCTTTAGGTCTCCCCTTTGCAACTTCAGCATCGAATCCGACATTTTTTCATTCATATGCGACAAAACTGTTTCATCAATCCTTTGGGGGTGTAATGCCAGACATATTGACAATAGTTTATACATCTGATCCGTTTGCTTCTCAATTAAGTCCATTTGAAATGTGCGGTACTGATGATACATTTGTCGAGTGCGCTGAAGATATACCAAAATGTTAGTAAAAGTGCGAATAGCATCTGAATATCTTCTCATCATTATATAAGCGAAGCCAACGTAATAGAAAGTAGTTGTTTGACACGCAAGCACTGGAGCCGTTGCCATCATTTGCAACTGTTGACGGTTGAGGTCAATGTTCTCCAACACTTTGATGGCCTGATAGTAATCGCCTAACAGTGAGTGAAGACGAAGTAAACCAATTAAACTGAAATAACCCAACATTTTGTATAGCGGTTGTCGGCCAAACTCGCCGGCCACTTGATCCGGATCTCGACCACTGTTATACTCTTTTAGTTGTTCATTAATATTAGATTTATCGACCAATGAGTGCAATACATTAATAACAGAATGGACATTCCAGACTTGAGGACTTGCAGCCAATAGCTCTTCATCTTCAGCCGATCTGTTCTGAGACTTGCCTTTATAAATACTAAACGATTGGAACTGATAGATAAATTCATCAATAATATCCCAAAGCCATTGATTTGGCAGTTCCAACAAAACCGGCTTTTCAGAGCTTAAGATGTAATTAAACAAATGGCAATAATTAAAGTACGAATCAAATCTTTGATCCTGAGTTGGCTGACACTTGGCATAAATGTGTCGATAATACAGTTCTTTATATAAAATAATGAATATATTGTTGTCTTCTGGCATCAGATGTTCTACTTCTTCTTTTTCAGGCCACGGACTGTCAGAGTAATAGCTTTCAGAGAGTTTGATAAAAGTGTTTTCATATAAGTTTTGAATGTCATAAACATTGCGCTCAATGATAGCCTTCTTGAGTAAGAGCAAGAAGTCCTGAACCAAATCGGGAATCATATGTTGGCCGTAACCCCCGTCGGGACGCGAATCCAAATTATCCTTAACATAAGGATCAGACGGATTGTTGAAGTCCTAAATATAACAATTGATTATCATATGAAGTAAATAAGTCAAACAAAGTGATTACCTCTTCATATTCTTCATAATAAAAAGACATTTTCGGGGATCAAGTGTTTACAGTAAAGACCAGACAATTAGTGACAAACACGTTGTCATTCATTCAATCATTAAATGGTCACAAATAACGTAAGTTTTATAATGAAAATATAGTTTTGCAATAAATTCAAAACAAATGCTTTCAATGTTTTAGTGACCGAAAAAGTTTTGGCCAATAATTTGGTGACCGATAATGACATTCACTTCAAATGTCTCCAAATCTCTTTTACAGCAACTGATCCAACAGTTCCCGACTCGACTCTCGTATGCATTTGCTTACGGTTCGGGTGTTTTCAATCAAAATGTAGTCAAAAATACCGACAAAAATATGATTGATTTGATTGTTGTAACCGAAGACTCTCTAGACTTTCATTATCACAATCTAATCAAAAACCGAAATCATTATTCAATGTTAGGTTCATTGGGACCGAAATGGTTGTCCACTATTCAGGAAAAGTTTAGCGCTTATGTATATTTCAATACTTTGATCCCATTTAATGGACATCTTATTAAATACGGTGTGATATCAAATAAACAACTGATTAGTGATTGTCTCGATTGGCAGACATTGTATATAAGCGGACGTTTGCATAAACCGGTGGTCACTCTCATCGAACCCAACTCTAATGAGTTGTCGGTTGCGATCAACAAGAATACCGAAAATGCAATTCACGCGGCGTTACTCTTATTGTCCGAAAGGTTTACCGAAGAGGAACTCTATATGAGAATCGCTAACATTTCATACATCGGCGACTTTCGGATGACTATTGGAGAAGACCGACAAAAGATCCAAAAGTTAGTTTTACCACAAATTGATAATTTTCGTCACTTATATCAACCAATATTGACATCGAAAGCATTGTCCCAATTGGTCACTTGGGATCCGAACTCTCGGATCTATTCACAAGACTGTTCACCGAAAGCCAAACTCTACCACTTGAATATGTTACCCAAATCCTTGGAGGAGATATTAATTAAAGAGTGGAATCAATACAATGATCATCAATTCGCTGATGTGGACTATCTATTTGACAGTTTGGCTCATAGTTTTGAATGTCGAGAACAGATCCAGTTTGCCATTAAAACTATTGTCGAAAAATCAAGTACTGCACAAAGTCTTAAAGGACTTTTCACGGCTGGACTTAACAAATCAATTCAATATTCAGCCAAAAAGTTATATAAAATGTATAAAAGTCTTGATTTACAAACAAAATTAACAAAAGCTAAAAAAAAATTTAAAAATAAATAAACTTAATTATCGTTTATTGTTTTACAGTAGTTTATAAATTATTATATGTTTTATTTTATAATAGTCTGACATTAATAAATTAGTTGCATATGATTTTATATAATAAATTAAATAATAATACTAATTAAATTTATGTTTAGATATATTTAAATTGTAAAATCATTTAATTTATATTAAAATACTTTGTATTGTTAATTATTAAACCAATCAAATCAATAAATTTTACATAAAATATTTCAAATTAAATTATTTTTGTGATTTTATTTATAACATTATACTGTAATATGACTTGATTGTATCAAGTTTATTTTAAGTAAAAAGTTTTATTATGGTAAATAGTTTTATCAATTTTATATATACTGTATATCCAACAACTTTATTGTATAAGTAAATAAAAATAAAAAAGTATTAAAGGATTACTTAAAATACGAGAATAATTCTATATTTCAGTTATTAATTTATATTATATAAATTACAGTATTATTACAGTTATTGTTATAATTTTTATATTATCAATAAAAATAAATAATTTTTAAGCAATTATTATTTAAATACCAATATTAGTAATATAAAATAACACTTAAATTTAATTGTAATAGAATATAAATAAAAACAGCTTTAAAATTAAATACTGATTTGTGATTCATAACTAATTGAAAATAAATTTAATTATATTTAAGTATATACTGTATAAATGTAAACCATAGTTACCTTACAATATAATCATAAATAATACAATAAAAATTTATTTTAAAGTTTTTATCATGAAAACTTAATCAATTAATGAAGGCTTAATCAATAGATAGTAATCTACTAAATTATGACTATTAATGCAAAAATATAATAATTTTACGTTAAACTTATTGTTATATACTAACTGGATATTATATACACTTATAATCTTTTTATAATAATCTAATACTATTGAGTGATAGCAACTTAATTTTCACATATGATAAATATTATGATACTATTTTTATTAGTAAAATACAAAAATATTTTAAATATCTTTATTTAGTTAAAAGTTATTTCAAGTTAAAATTTTACTGTTTTCATATAATACGATTCATCACAATCTTATTTATTTTATTTGCTGACAAATCCTTTGATTAATAAAATTAACATTTTATTATATAACTACTTATTGAAAAATAAATATATTTTTATAATTACAGAAAACTTTCAGTTATACTATAAAGTAATTTCATTTTACCAAAAAGTTTTTGCAAATAAATAATGAATACATCGATTTTATCTAAAATTATATTTTTAAATTTTCAATTTATTTTTATTTGTTTTAGAGTCTTATATTATAATAAAAATGACTTAATAGATAAAAGATTTTATTGTTATTATTAAATGCTTTAAATGTTTTTAAAAATTTCTATACTTTATCTTTTGATCAATTATTTAAGATAAACTATTCTTATATAGTTTGTTTATATAGTTAATATGTTAAGCAATAAAATGTTTTTAATATTTGTTTTTCAAAACAATACAATCATAATGTTTATGTTATGTTATAACAATGATATTTTTTAGAAATTGTTTAGAAAATGTTTAGAAAATAACATTAGAAAACAAACATCAGATAATAATTTTTATTAAAATAATTGTGTAATCAAAATAAGTAGTAATCTTATTATAAGTACTGTATGGGTATATGTTTACAAAACAAAAACTTATTAATTTCCATTAATTTGTTTGACATTTAAATTTGATAAAATATCGATTTACTTAAAATTATCTAAATATTTACCTATTTATAAATACTATCTAATATAAAAATATTTATATAAATTTATAAGTTGTAAAGTAATAATTAATGCAGATTTAACATAACTAATGTTATTTTTTGTATAATTTATAAATTTGCAATTATTCATAATCTTTTTAAGGTTTAATTAAATATTAACAAAATAATAAAATAAATTTAATTAAAATCAATAACAAAAATTTAAAATATAATAAAATATGTAAATATAATCCAAAATATGATTGTAAATAAAAACAACATATAATTAATGGCTTTGTTGTAGTGATTATCGGAACGAAACCAATATATCAATGAATCCTATATTTATGAGAATTAAACAAATTATTAGTTTATTGTTAATTAATAAATATTTGTTGAAATACATATACTAATAAGTTTACTTAATTTAACATTTTAAAATATTATAATATAGTTTATAGAAATAAAAAAAATAAAATTAATAATTTTTAAAATTTATATTCTAAAACATTCATAAAATTAAAATTTCAAATAAAACAATTTTCAATTTGTCCGCAATTAAGCCTAAGACAAAAATCGGCTAAATATATGTCACAAATTATGAGTAATTAAAGTTCTTATATATAATTTTTACTGTTTATATTAAAATAAAACTAATAATATTGGATTATAATTATACTATAGTGTGACTATAGTCATAAGTAAAAATATTGTGTATACTGCATATGATATAATTATTTAATCTATTAAATAATTATCATAAACTTAAATGATATAAAGTTTTATGAAATTAATTATAAAAATGATTTACTGTAAATTTTTTTATACAAACCTATTATCTTTTTCAACAAAACCATGTATTAATTTTTATATAAATAAAATAAAATTTATAGTATTTATAGCAAATTAAAAACTAATTTTAAATTGATAAAAATATGTTAAACTTATATTATTAATATATACAATATAACATACTGTAGTATTAGTAATACAATCAATATTAACTTATTTGAAATAAATAAATACAAACCCAACCTCCCTGTTGTGCGATCCAACCTTAATCCAAAATATCAAATATTTATTTTGATTAAACTAATTAATATACAATTAATTAAATACCTGCAATATCTCTATCAACAAATGCTGTAAATGTGTCTATAATAGGAAGTATATATTCCGGATGACCTACTTGTACACAATCAACAGCCAGTGCACCAGTAATAGCAAAAAGTGCCGCAATTCTAGCCCACGTTATGTCATTTCGGAACAACTCTTGTGATATTATCTGAAGAATTGATTGAATTTCATTAACAGATTTTAACGGATGAGATGTTATATTATTGAGAACACTGTTATATAGTTTGGGATAATTTGTCTCTAACTCAAGGACCAGACATTTCAACTGATTGGCCACAAGACTAGTACGCGAGTCAACAGTAATATTGCAGAGATTCCGTAGTTTTTGTAGATTAAAACGCTTGTTATCAATGATACCACTCTTTCTAAGTTTAAATCTTATGAATCGCGAACACAAACACTTGGATTCCTTCACAATATTGCTGTGACTCGGCTTAAGACCAATAGTTGACGTTAAGTGATGACTGACAGCGATTCCCACCTGAGATAATCGTTTCTTATGAGTGGTCAGATCAAGACTATCCAAAATTGTCGACTGAAATGATTTTCTCGGTTCACAACTTTCCATATATTGATTCGGAGATATTTGCTTTGCATTTATCAAAGGAAGACTATATTTACGGACATTGATTGGCGGCGGAGATAACAGACCATTGCTTGCTATTGTTGTCGACGGCTTTATAGTAGTAGTAGTAGTAGTAGTAGTAGTAATAGTAGTAGTAGTAGTGACAGCTGATTGTGTAAATGTTTGACCATTTGAAGTGCTGATTGATTCACTCGTTACTAAATTCTGATATTTTTCATATGAATTATTTCTTTGATTTGAATTATTATTTATAATAACTTGCATTACTTCTGACATAATTCTATATAAGAATTTAAAAGACAAGAATTTGTTTAAAATAGCACTTAAAAAGTCAATAAATCTCTATAATATACAATAACTGTTTATTTATTAGTTTTTAAACCTATCAATTGAATTAATTATTTGAATTCACTTAAAACCAATAATGCTTTCACTTAAGTTACTATTTTAGATTATGAATAATTTCATTGTAAACGTAGTAGCAATTTATACAATTAACTGAAATTTATATAAAATACTATTTTTACAACATGTTTGTATTTGTACTACAATTATAAAGATATTATAAATGATGAATAACAGCAACTGATACAAAAAAATATTGTCAAGAAATCTATTGTTATTTAATAAAATTTAATATAATAACATTACTAGTAATTATAAATAAAATTCCTAAATAAAAACACATAAATAATAGTTTGCATTACACGCAACACAATTATTAGTGAAGTGTAACTAAATTATAAAATGCTGTAAAACAGATTTTGATGAACTTTATTTTAACTCAAGTATAGATAATAATAATAATATTTTTTTATCAGTAAAAATACTTTAGTATTAATGTTATTATGTTTGTTGTTATTGTTGTTGTGTTGCCGTTGATTCTTATCAAAGAAAATACCAACAAATATATTAAAGTTAAACACAATGTTTTTAAAAAGTTATTTAAACTTTAATTTGAAACTACTATGCAATCAAATAGTTTCGTGAGTGTTGTCGGACAAACAAAAACTTAGATTACCTACAATTGATAGGCTAAGCGTTCACCAGTGCTTATGCTTTTAAAAAACACTTGTCTGACGGCAATTGACTCTTTGCTAAACATATTTCATAAATTTACTTCAAATGCAATGTCTTATGCAATGTTATTTAAATATACTTTCACTATCAGTGCCGATATGTTATAAACAGCAGTAATATATGTATAAGTTTGTGAGCACTTTTAGCTTTTATATTACATTATTAGAAAACACATAAATTTTTTCACAGCAATCCCTACTATTAAACTGGTTCTCACATTCTCTACATATTACTAGACATTCAAAGCAGTGCCGGTAATGACCCACACCATAGCATTTTAAAAATATTTTGTTTATATATATTATAATATGCATACATATATTGTATACCGTATATATATACTGTACTTCACATAACAACAATATATTTGATAATATAGTATAGTATAAAAATTTGAGCTCTTAAAACACGTTTAAAACATTGTTGAAAACACCGTATGTTTGATTCAAACATAACCACTAACTCATAATCAATGCATTGAAAAGTAGAAACACTTTCAATGAGTTGACAAAAATTAATATAAATTTAATTTCAATTATATACAAACAATGCATTGTATTAAATATTACTAATTTATAAATAACTTATCACAATATTATAAATAACTTACAATATTATTTATTTGCCATATAATTAATATTACATATAATACTATTTATTATTATTACTTATTATTTACTAAGTATTACTATTATTAATTATCTTTACATTAGCCAAATGTGACGTCTCATTCAATTATACTATTGGTTAAAAAGTTAGTTAATTACAAATTAAGGATATTTTTTAGTTTATTATTAATGTCAGGACTAATATTTTAATTATTTATATTTTTGATTTATTACTAAAAGCTGTTTTTAAATTAAAATTAACACTTTATTAAATATATTATTAATTATTTTCACTTAAAGGTTTTGTTGTAATAGTCTTGTTTATAGTTATTAAATAAAAAACAAACTATTTTTAAAACAATAACAAATTGTAAAAACAGATTTATTATAAAGAAAAATAATTTTTGAGAATAACCTTTTCAAAAATTTATCATGGTCATTAATTTGTTAGTTTTATTAGTTTAAACTTTAAAGTATTAACTGTATCAATTTTATTAAACTTAATAATTATAGATTTTATGTTGTATACTTATATTAAATAATTAAATTATAGTATATTTAATTACAGTATACTTTTACGGTACTACAGGAAAAATAATTAACCGATATTAATTTTAAATTAATACAATTTTTATATTAAAAAACATATTTTTTAAGCGACACATTAATTTTTATTTAATATTTTTTGAAATTTTAATAATAGACAATGCGATTAAACACACACACAAAATAACATATAACTTACATAAATTCTGATGTTTTTATATTTGTTATTAAAAAACAAAATTATAAGTTTTAATTTATAATCAATAAATTTCACTTAAAAACAATAAATATGAAAAAATATATAATTCATAATATTGTAAATATTAATCATAGTAAAGAATTTAGCTATTGTATATGTTTTATATACAGTATTATTTCATAGTTTATTAACTAAACTAAAATGCTTATAATAAAACAATTGTTTGTTATATCAAATCAAAATTAGTTACTATATAACTTATGGGCATTAAAATTGCAATTTCAAAGTCATTGTTCAATTTAAACCACTTTTTGTTTTTATTTTAATACTATAAATGTCTAAAATTTTACAGTAAACAAAACAATATAAACTGAAAAAATGTCAAAAACAAATTTAATTAAATTATTAAATTAAATATAAATAATAGTTAAACATATGTTAGTATTTTTATGCGTTAATAATATTTACAATTAATTACATTTTTGATTACTATGTATTAAACATATTATTTTAACTAATAAAGTACAAAATATATGTATATATGTGTAAAAAATAAATGTATATTATAGTTAATTCTTATTAATTATTTATATTTTGATAAAACATCTGATATTTACACAAAAATATATCAATTATTTACCAAATATCTAAAATATAAGTAACAATAAAATTATAATTATTTATTTATTTTTAGTATTCTCTTTTTTATATACATAATATAACTGACTATATATATATCAGTATATGCTGTATATAATAAAAATGAGAAAATTACAAACAAAAATAATGAAAATTCAAAAAAAATTGTAAAAATTGTATTTTTGGTTCTACAGTATATCCACTTAATATTTTTGCAATAAATATTTTTACCTTTTCATGCAGTCCTGTATTTTTATTATAATATTTGACACACTATGACAAACAAAAAAACAAACAAAACTATTTAAAAGTTAACAAATCATCGCTCATAATGAAAGATAAGTCAGTAATAAATTATAAAAATAATGAATTTTAATGAAATTCTTGAATAAACTAATAATAAAACTAAAAATGAGTGATTTTTATGAATATGTTATGATTTTTTGGTCAACAATAATAAGTTGCAAACATTGATGAGATTTATCTTATATATTGATTAAAGTGATGACAATGCAATTATTACAATTTATTTTTAATTTTCATTTAGTTAACAGTGACTTAAAATTGTAATTTAAATTATAATATAATGAATACTATAGTATTTATTAAGTAGTTTTGAAACAAATGAAGATTTATTGTTTAAGTAATGGATAGTAAAAGTAATGAGAAATGAAAGAAAGTAGTGGAAAGTCCAATGGATTCAATGGATTCAATGGATGGTATAAAAGTAGAGGAATGTTATGATATGAATTCTTTGTGGTTGTTTGTATAATAACTTGTATGCAATGCCTGATATGTCTGTCATATATGCCTCTCCAGTGGTGATCCCAGTGTTGGTTGAGTCGACTCAGTCTTAACCTAAGTCTTGAAGAGAGTGTCGATCGTTGTATTCATTGAAAGCATTGAAAGCAATGTTTAGTCGGTTTTTGTTTGCTGTGAATGTCTGTGAGTCACGACTTTCATCAAACATAACATAAGACATGAGTTTACAGACTCTTTAGTCAAGACTATTGTAAGGCCTGTCCTCTCGACTCGACTCCTGTGCTCTGAGACATACATTATGTGAACAATCCATTGATTGCATTGACTTTCAAATTATTTGAATCATTTGAATCATTGATTTTAATTATAAGTTTGTGTGAAATAATTGTATATATTATGTGACATCAATAATGATATGATTATCAATCAATTATACGATAATTATTTAATGATTGTCATTATATTTATATATTTATTATGATTTGTTGTTTAAATACTACAATCAATTGATAAAACAAATGAAAATGAATTTGCATTTGATTTTCATAATAATTAAGTTATTAATCATTTGTAACCAAATGATTGTCTCCAATGGCATACCTATTGATCATAAAGTCATTGCAAACAATCATAACATCAAAACACAGTTTGAATTTATTTTGAAACAACAGATCAATGAATTGAAGACTTTATTACAACACAAAACATCCAAATTTGATGGTAAGTCCATATCATATGATATTATCATTAAATACAAGACAACGCCCTCTCAAACTCTTTAATTAAAAAACTTTTATACAATATATGATATATTAATAAATATAATAACTTATGTGATAACAAAATTTATTGATTTTATAATTAATACATCCATTCATTTACTCAAATATTTTGTGTTTAAATACTCAAAAGTCACTATAAAATCATTTAAATTATTTAAATTGTGTTATAAATAATTAGCTTATATTTATCTCAAATTAAATGCCAAAATTTTTTTTTAATAATTTTAATTTGCAGTGTTTGTTAATTTTTATTATATATTTGGTTTATTTAATTTATTAAATAACACTTATAATTAATGTTTAATATTCAGTTTAATTCACTATATATTGTATTATATATTTGTTTTTGTATTTATATATTCACAAATTCATTAGTGATTTATTGCCAAAATAAATATTGATGACAATAAATGCTAAATAAATATATAAACATTTATATATATTAAATATTATCAATATTTGATGAAATAAAGTTTTACTAAGAAATAATAAAAGCGATTGCATTGTATTTATTGACAACAATTTATAAAACAAAAGAGTATATTAATTACTGAAAGGAAAGTCATAACTAATACCTGAATTACTAAGTGTTGTAAACATTAATCAAAATTTAAACAAAAGACTTAAATAATAGGCAAATAGTATGTAATAATTTATCTAATATTTTGGTGATATAATAGTCTCATATCTCGTGTGGTATATAATAGGTATGTGTCTGACATAAGAGTATAGATGTTTGTTATCTGAGACACAATTGAAGGCTCACTGTATTTAATATACAGTAAGTGTTGCCATAAGTTTGAATGAAAGTCCAAACTCTCACTGTTTGTCAGTCTCTGCAAAAAAAACATTCAATTATTATTTATATTCATTATATGGCAATAGATTTATATACTTATATAATATATATTCACTTAAAACTCGTTTTTATGACACAAGAGAAAGACATTTGAGTCCATCATTAGAGTTATCCAACTAAACGAATAATTATAGCATAATATAACACATTACTATATATAGATATTTTAATAGCAATATTTTTTGAAAATTGTTAATAATTTTAATTTATAAATAATTTGAAATGTTAAGTGTTTTTTATTTGAGGAAAAATAAAATATTTTTAACGAAAAATGATTTCAAATGAAACGAATATTAGAGACAAACTTTTGACCCGAATTTAGCTAAACTTATATGAGATGGAGATTTGTTGTCAACAATTGAATTATAGCCAAAAGTGACGGCAAAACTGTTTTTATAACTTAAATCTCTTTAATGTTATATTCAAAGAAATGTTAACAAAATGGGTTTATTTGTAATAATGATAAGCATTCAATTTAATAAAACAAAAAACTACTAATAGATTTAATAATAGATTTAGTTATTACTAGTTAATAAAAAATATTAAATACACTATATTTGAGTTTTGTAAATATAACTTTAAAAATCATGATTAAACAAATGATATTTAAAAAATATATTTCATATATTAGTTTATATCTCAATATTTTTTAGTTATTAAACTATTGATTTCAGTGTTTATTTAATTTTATTTAGTTTAAAGTTTGAATTACATATTTATTTGGGTTGAAAGCGTTACAGGATATTAGCTTAATTAAATATAAATTGATTTAATACAGTAAATTATATTATTGTATATTATATACTGTATGTTAGACACTCTTTTAATGCTTAATAAAATTGTATATAGAATTTGAGATCAAAATATAAAAAATAAAATTATTTTTATTATTATTGAATAAAAATCTCATTTTTGCCAAATTTGGATGAATATAGTGTTGACTAAAATGGATGAATAGTTTTTATGTTAAAAATCTGGTTTTCTTGAATCACAAATTAGTTTTTGATTATTATTTTTGCTATTATTTAGATATTCATAAATTCAATTTTATACGTTAAGCAACACTTTAGATATGCCTTTTTAGATATATTTTGATGTGTTTTCAAGTATTTTGAAATAAAATAAGAAAAATATATATTTATCTATAGTAAAGCACTTAAAGACAGTTCAAAACAGAAATCTAATTTACAAATGAATACAAATGTATGAGAAAATTATTGTTTGATTTTTGCTACTAAAATACAGTACTTATTGTTGTAAGTGATTTAAAGTAAGTGTTGATTATTTGGGATCAATATTTAGAGAAACGCAATGCCTTTACTTTAGTTAACTTATTTGGCTATATATGGTTTGTTGGCATAGGTTTAAGGTATTGGTGTTTCTGGTTTGAAGTTTTAACAAACATTTGGACACAATATAACCTCTGGACATATTCATGAAGAGAAGCGGTTATAGGGCTGTTAGCAATATATGGTATGGTTTAGTATGGTATGGGCTCATACCTTGTTGTATGGGGTATAGTGTATGGCCATTGAAATGCATTTAAGTGAACATTTGTTTGCATTCCTCTCTATAACTATATAGTACTAAAATATAGTGAATACACTTATTCTTTGAGTTGTTTCATAAAAGCTAACTATTCTCAGGTATGCAACTAAAGGAATGTAACTCAAACTCCAAACTTTAAGCTTAATAGACATACCGACACACATACACACACACACACACACATACATACACACACCGGAGCAAAGCAACCAAAATCTTAAGCCAAAGAGCAAGACTCCACACATTCACGTACTCTATGTCCTCGGGGCTAATAAATGCCTCAATTATTATCAAAATGTCTTCAATTCAGCCGTTTTTCTCCACTATTTCGCTCAATTAATCATTGATTATAATCTTATTTCTATATATATATATATTTAGCATTGAATTAAAACTATTTAACTGTTAGTTTAAAGGACTTTGTGGGCCACAATCGCATCTCACTTTCCATTATAATCCTTGGCTATGCTATTAATGAACACAAAAATATCTAAAATCAGGTTTAATATGAAATGAATTCTCATATATTTATGACTGCTATGAGAAATAATAATTGTTTACATAAATAACTTTTATATCTATCACATATACATATTCAATATATACTATACACGAAATGATATATAAAATGTGGTAAAATTATTGCTCTCTTTATATAATAAATTCTTAGTTATTATGTGCCATGAAATACAGCAAACTATAGTATAATACTGTAATAATAATAATAATAAGTATACATATATTGTACATATTATATTAACAATGCATTTAAAATATTTATAGCGTTAATGTTATTCAGAGATGCCGTTAACATACATACATATATTCAGTACTTAGTCTTAGTATAAGAACTTAGTTTTTAGTGTTGTTGTAATAGTGACCGGAAATCGTGACAAATAGTTTCACAAAAATGAATGTCAATTCATTGATAGTGTTGCAGATGTACTGAAAACTACATGTGCTGTCAAAGAAAAAAAGAGAAATGAGAATATTTGAGACCACTTTTCTATAGACAAACAAACAAACACCGCAACCAACCATACCATCCAACAAATAGGGCATTCCTGAGACACACAGAAAATAAGATTTTTTTGTTGAAATATTTAAAAATATTTTTCACTCTTTTTCTTTGATATTTCAAAAGAATTCTTTCGTGAATTATTGAAGACCTCAAAGCGAGACTTTCATCAAATGTTTTTACAAACCTATGGTTTACTATATGAGAAGCATTCGTCAATATTTACTGATATGTTTCAAGATCTTGAAGACTATTACAATAATGGAGGTCTGGATTTAAGCGAAGCACTCGATCTCTTCTTCCATCGGTTGTACCAAAAGATGTTTCAGGTGTTGAACAGTCAGTATAAGTTTGACGATAAGTACTTGAATTGTGTGAGTAAACACATGGATGAGCTCAAACCCTTCGGAGATGTGCCCAAAAAGCTAAACCAAGAAATAAAGCGATCATTTATAGCCACCCGAACCTTCGTTCAGGCGCTTAATAACGGCAAAGACGTTATCAAAAACATACTCGAAGTAAGTCTTATGTCAAGAGTTTACTCCCATATAAACCTTTTTCTCGCTTTTATATCATATGACTTAATAGACATTTGAGTTTATACTTAACTCTATTTATATAGCAGTCTATATATGTAATGTTTATTTGGTTTATTCAAACAAATAGATCCAAACGTCTGCCGAATGTAGTAATGCCTTAATGAAGATGTCGTATTGTCCGCACTGCCAGACATCTAACGAACTGAAGCCGTGCGCTAACTATTGCCTTAATGTTGTCAACACATGTCTAGCATTTCATACAGAACTGGACAAAGAGTGGAACAATTATATCGACGCTCTTCTACTTTTAGCCTCACGTTTAGAGACCTCTTTCAACATTGAGTCAGTTGTTGATCCAATCGATATCAAGATATCTGACGCTATTATGAACTTCCAGGAAAACGGCGGCGTTGTCTCTAATAAGGTAATGTATGACCACTTAAAGTCAATGTCTTTTTTTTGATGATAGTATCAGACATAAAAAAGATTGTATCAATTATTTATTTTGATTATATTGTATATTATATTAAATGATATTATGTTTATATAGTTATTTGAATCGTGTGGCAAACCTCATATCGATGCACCAAAACGTGAGACAAGAGACGCTAACTTTAATGAGTCAAACAAATTAGCTCAACCACAGCCTTATGTGGCTAATCCTACCTCAGCCACCATATCGGGCTTAGATCAGCTCATAGATGACATCAAAAAGAAAATTAAGAAAACCAAAAGTTTTTGGACACGTCTTCCTCAAAGTGTTTGTGCCGATAAACAAATGTCTTTACTCGTAGCTAACGATGATATGACTTGTTTTAATGGCTCAGATAATGTACAGTAAGTAACAATTGTTTTCTATTAAATTTTATTTATTTTTCTTACAAATTAAAACAAATTTATAATTAAATGAAATTTAAATAAAATGGGATTACCGGTAATGATATAGAATTTTATTATTATATAGTTATGAAATGGACAATAAGCCGGAAAGCCATCAAACAAGTGATTTAAATATAGAGACGACTCGTCACAACGCTATCATAAATCAACAAAACTTGACTCTTAAGCTAATCACCAATAAATTAAATTTAGCTTATAATGGACAGGATGTAGAGCTTGTTGACACTGGTAAGCAATTTATTTTATTTTATTAAATTATAAAAAATTGAAACTTATTTTTTATACATATTAATTTATTTTAATCTTAGCTGACTCTGATATGGAACCGGATGGTTCAGGTAGTGGATCCGGTAGTGGTTATGGAGCCGAGGATAATGATTATAGAGATCCCGGTTCTAACAATGTAGTCACTGATGATATATACTTTAATCCATCGACACCGAGAACGCCTCACCTGATTGATGGCGAAACCAATGACTTTAAGTCAAGAAATAATTGGTCGAAGTCTCCAAAGCCTAACCATCCTTTCATGTCTAAAGACTCATCATTTAAGTCAAGTCTTTCGATTTCATTAGTTATGTGGACATTATTTATCAATATTTGTGTTTTATATTCAACTGATAGACTGTGATTACTAATTAACATTTAAAAAATAATTTTAATTATTTTTTAAGATTAATTAATGCTTCATATTTTATATTTATTTCATAAATTTTATAACGTCAAAATGACAGCTAAATTAACTTTTAAATATTGTAATTATAAATACAATATATTCTGTGTGTTTGCTTACAATGTGTGACAAAAATGGATTTTAATTAATTAACTAACAATAAGATTCACATCATTTCGCTGACGGCATTAAAACAGTGGTGTTTTTATGTGTTGTTTATATGTTTATGTCTATTGATGACTGTCCTTATGATGATATGTGATGTGTCCACTGATATATGGATGAGAAAAAGACGACTTTTTTCTAAAACTTTTTATTTTAAAATGTAAAATGTTTTTGGAAAACAAGTTTTTATGAAATGTGATAAAAGATAGACTAATATTATGAATAAATTCTTTGGCATTTACGTCAACATTACTTTTAAACGATTACTAAATTGATATAAAATTAAAAAAAGTGTGCGTTTATAATAGTGCATTAAATAAAAATGTATATAAATAATAATAATATATATGAACAAAATTTTTATAACATTATCTCGTCATTTATAAAAATGTTGACACAAAATGTCTGATCAATTTATTCCATTATACAGTATATAAATATATATTCATATTTTTATTTAAAATTATTATTTAGCTTATAGTTTGTTTAATAGACATTTGACAAATCATTTGATTTTAAGGTTTAAAAATTGAATATTTTAATTATTTTCATTTTTAATCCTTAAAATGACTGAATTTAGCTAATATCGCTGATAGCTATTAGTATACAGTATATATATATATATATATATATATATATATATATATATATATACCGTAATGTCAATTTGTATATTATGTTCATACTTTTTCAATTATTTAAGATTATTTTTGATTAGTTATAATTTATTTAGCAGTCAGTCAACTATAGGCTTAAGTCATATTCAAACATTAAGTTTAAACATATTTGAGACTAATCAAAGCAATTGTACAAAAACAACATTTGTATTGAAATTTAAGTCAATTTTAATGTTATTTTTAATGAAACCCAAATTTGGTATTTTTGACTATAATTGTGGTAAAATATTGTGTTTTTAAAATACACGCAATTATTATACTGAAAATATATTAAAATCTATTGATATTTGATATCTCGAGTTTGGGTTTTCAAAAAATTTCCAATTTGTGAGCTTTTTATATATATTTTTTTGAATAATAATATTTAATATTCTTTATAAAAACACATTCATAAAATAAATTAAATGATTGACAACTTTCTTAAGTTTAGATTTAGTATATTGTTTTTTTTTTTTGATTTTATTTTGTTTAATTTATTAAATATTTTATTATATAAATTAACAATTGAAATAAAATCGCCAAAAAGGTTGTCTGTGAATTAAATCTAAACTCAAGAAAAATTGTTATTTTGCACATTTTTTTAGTAATATAAATATGTTGTGTATATTTTTTTTTGTTTTTATTTTGTATTATAAGTTGTCACAATTTTATTCAAATAGCTATATTTATAATAAAATTATAGAAATTTTAAATAATAACTAAGGTATTTGTGCCAATAAAGTAAATTATAATGAATCAATGATTTATTTATTTTTTCTATCATTACATCAAATTGTTTAAAATATAAATCAGTTGTTAATTTAATTCACAGTATTTTTGTTTGTATTTTTTGAATAACTAATATTTAAAAACTATTTTTTAAATAATAATAAAAAACTTTAAATATTATAAATTAAAAAAAGTTAAATTATTAACTATATTATCTTCTAATTATATATAAATTTATAATTTTATTTGTTTAATGTAAATAATTTAAGATTGTATTTTATAAATTAACAATTGTAAAAAGTATTTATAATTATAATAAAATTATAATAAAGGTCATTGGAGTTTTTTTTAATATTGAATATTTAATTAACTATTAAATGAACTATAAGTGACTATAAAATGAAAGAAATTTTATTTATAGTAAAAATTATTAATAAAATATATGATAACTGACAGAAATAAATTTGATTTATCGAAAATAGTAATATAACTTTGAATTGACCACATTTTATGCTCAGTTTTATTTTATTTCAGACACTTTTATTTGAATTCCTTTAATGTTTTACCAATTTTTAACTTATGTTAAGATGACATGTCATGAGATAAATGAATGGTTTGTTTGTTAAAACGTTTTCAATAATATTGAATACATTGAATGAAATTAACATTTATTGGAGTAATAAAATCAAATTCCTTTTGACAAAAGCAGTATTTACTGTATTAGTATTATTAGTATTGTATTCAATAGAATAGTGAAATAACACTGAAATTGCTAAATAAAAAAGTTATGTTTTCATTGAACACACACTGTCTTCGTGTACTTTACAAGTGATAGTCATCTCTGAAAAAATAGTTTTATATTTTTATATAAGAGATATTTTCTAAGAGTCATTTGTATTACTGATTATAATCAGGTAATAGTTTTTTTAGTGAAAGATCCAAACAATTTGCCACAAAAGCCATCTGTAAAAGTGCTTTAAATCATTGGATGATTGCATTGATTGAAAAGTACTTATGTTTTCAAATTGTCAACAATTGTCGGCTCTGTTATCGAAATATTAGAAACGATGTTTGTATTCAAAAAATATATAAATCATTGACAGACTCTCTCCCACTCTCTTAAAAATATGTCATTTGATGTGAATATATTACTACATATCAAACAATCGTATTATTATTATTATTATATAAAATTGTTAATATTTTGTAAAACCTCGACTCATATTATAGCGTAGATTTATATTCAAATTTATCTTTATTTTTTGTGTCCCTTTTAACAAAACTGTCAAAATTTTTGTGTTACATTTGAGTCCTCAATTTTTATTAATAATTTTTTTAAAAATGTATAATAAGTAGAAAATGTATAGAATTATTGTCGAGATTAACAAAAGAAAAATATTCATAATATATGTATAGTTTGTTATCAATTTATTTTATTTGAGATTTCAATGCGTTATATATTTTCCACTTTTTTGTTGTTATATATTATTAATACATTGAATTTGTCAAAATCTGCTAAACATTTACATAAAGTAATATTTTGTTACACATCTGTAGTTTATATTTGATATATATGTCTATGATTCAACTCAATTAGCAAATAAACTAATCTCTACTCTACTCTAACATTATATTATAATAATATATACTAAATTATATACAGTATGTAATATATAATATATACACACAGTATATAATATACCAGCAAATTGATAGCCAACTATTTGTTTGTACTTCAAATATAATTTGTGCGAAACATAAATATTTATTCATTGGTTTTGTACTGTCATTCATAGCTTTGATTTTTGCAAAATCCCTTATCTTTACATTTATCTCCAAAAATAAGTATTCAGTGATTGAAGAAAATTACACACATTTTTACTACAATCCTATCATTTTGTTCATTCATTCATTCATTCATTCATTTATCCATTCATTCATTTATTCAATTTAGTCATTCGTTTATTTATCAATTTTATACCTTTTAAAGTAATGTATTTTAAAATTATACTTTTAAAAGATTAAAAATAAGTTAAACGCCGCTATAAAAAACAATTTTTTAAAATTATAATCATTAAAACCTTAAAATTTGTCAAAGTTTATATACTGTATATTATTATATGTAATTTATTGTGCAATAAAATAAATTTACAAAATATTGAAATATATTAAAACTGTTCTAAAATTGTCTTTCATTTTATCTAAACTTATTTTATTAATTTTAAAATTGCAATATTTATTGTAATTATATAATGTTTAGGTAACATTAGAGAAATGTATAATAATGTTTACTTAATTCATTAATAATCTATAACTAATTAAATTTGACAAATGTTTCTATGCATTAAAATTACAATAGTAATAATAAATCAAAGCTTATTATTAGTGCATAAAAAATATTTAATTAAATAAAAAATATTTAATTAAATATAATACATTTTTTGGTGATAAATAAATAAGAAATATTTAATTAAATATTTTGTGTTTTTAGTAAATGTAATTAAATATTTTAACTTAAAACTATAAAAATAGATTATAAAGTACTAAATATGTCAGAGTTTTTACTTAAAATTATAGTTTAAAGAATAGTAAATATATACAAATAACTCTATGATATAAAAATTAGCAAAAATATTATGCAAAACAGCATTAGTTGTGTTAATGTGAATGCAATCAATTAGTAAAAATTATATTATTGAGTTGTATTAGTTTTTAAGTTTGAAAATAAAATTAAGTGTATTTTTACCTTTTCTTAATAAAAATATGATTTCAATTTGTAATACTATAATTTAAATAGAGATTTAAATAAATTACAAATTGATTAAATATATAAATTTTTTTACTAATAAATGACTATTTAAAAAAATAAATATTTAAGTAAATATTTTGGTAGTTTTTAGTAAATATTTTATTGAATATTTTCAATTTTTAAATAAATATTGATGCTTTAGTTATTATTGAATATACTATACAGTGTTAAAGTTAATGTTGTTGTCATAATTTTTAGTTTAATTTTTTAATATAAATAATTTTGTGTACAGATTTTTTGCTTGAATTATTAAAAGATTAAAAGTAATTATTTCTAAATAGTTATTTAACAATTTTTAACTAATTAACTAATTCATTGGTGCTTTAAAACATTCTATTATAAGGCGTGGTTCACACATTACGTTCGCACTGTTTAAGAAATCTAGACCCCCTCCCTCCCCATCACAAGAAATAAGATATTATCTAAATGCGAACGTTCTTAAAGTCTCTACCCCTCGTTCGCAAAAGTTCGCTTTGGCTAACCCCCCCCCCTCCCCTCAAGTGCGAACGTAATATGTGAACAACGCCTAACTTATTAATAAATTATTATATTTTAAAATATCAAAATATATTCTTCAAATTAATAGTATTGTGGTCTCAATTAAAGGTAATCAACAAAAATAATTTTTATGTTTTCCGAAATCAATAACAAAACATTAGATCTAAAATGAATTAATATTATATTTGTAATTTATTAGCTATTGAAGCATTTCAAATAGTAAAATAACTATTAATATAACACATTAATTATTACTATTGTTTAAATAACATTTTCAAATACTTTAAAATTATTATCTATAAAATAATTAATAAATCTTTACGAAGTAATGAAATGTAATAATTTAGTTAATTTATTGTCTTTTTTACTTTGTTTTAAGCATTTTCTCAACGGTTTTATATTGAATTATAAATCATAAAATGTTTGTTGTAATAAACATTATTTAATTACAAACTTTATGGTGGTTTCAATCAGTTTAGAAATAGTACGTAGAGTTGTGTCCAAAAACAGACAATAATTGTTGTGAATATCAAATATACAATATTAGGCTATAATTAGTTATAATCAGTACCAGGAATAGTGTCATAAAAGGCAAAAGTTTATACAAAATCCTTTCAAAATATCCCAAAAGGTTTCAAAGCTTATAACTTATAAGATTGAGGTCACAAATAGACACACTATCACACTGTCCTCTCTTTCTTGAAAAATCATTTAAATTTACTTTAAATACTTATATTTATCTTAAAATTATTTACAAAATTTAAGTAAGATTTAGTTATTTTGTTAACAATCTTAAGACTAATTTCTATTATATCAAATTTAATTTATTTATAATTTTAAGTTTTTTATCTTAAATTTTAATATTATATAGAATTTAGTTTGTCTTTAAATAAAATAATTATTAATTATTGTAGATTTTTGTTAAACACATTTCTAAAATTATCTGTAAATTACTAAAAGATATTTTATATTTTTAATTCTCTTTTTAATTGATAATTCTATATAAACAATAAGTTAAATTTAAATAATTACAAATTATAAAATATAATAATAAAAAATTAATTAAAAGTCATTTCAATCAAATTTGGCTAAATATATTAATTTTAAAATATGTTTCAAAAGAGATATTATAGATGTATAAAACATTTCACAACTAAATAAGTATTACAGTTATATGATTGGCAGTAATACACAGTCAACTGTTAAAAATTGTAAAAATGATAGTCGACTGTACATTATATGGCCAATCATACAATTAATTTAAAAATGACCAATTACAACATTGCCCTTGGTCACTTTTAAATCCAATGTATTGTTGTCCAGATAATTGAAATTAATAGCATCGCCGCTGTTTAAGACTCTCTGAAAAATTTGAAAGTATATATAGTATATAAAATTTTTTTACAAAATCCTGAGATGACAACAATGTATAATAATACATGTTAATTTTAAAGTCCTATTCATTAACTAAGTTATCATATTTACAATTAGAGTCTAAGCTTTACAGTCATTGTAAGCATTAAATATGATAACTTAGTTAATGAATAGGACTTTTATTACATTGTTGTCGTCTCAGCAATTCGTAATATAATTTTAGTACTGTATATACTGTAGTATAATGTTATTTAACTTAAAATTATTATTCACTGTTTTTAAGCTAATCTACTCATCATAATTAAAGATTGTAATTATGAATGAATAGTCAAATATATTATACAATTAAGTTTATTTAATTTTATAGCAAAATACTAGTAAAGTATAATACTATAAAATAAATGATTTACGCTAAATGTTTATATAAATAAGTTTATCGGTATATCTACTGTTTATACTGTATTTGTAAATTAAAATCTGAGAAAGTTTCCGGTAATTATGAGAGAAGTCAGTCAATATACTGTACTTTTTAATGTCTATTTAATATAATAAACAAATTGTATTTACCGGTAATAGTTTGTTGTATAATACCTGAATTTTCTCATAATAATTATTACTGATTACCTCTAGTTTCTCGCATTTTAATTTACAAATACAGTATAAACTTATTTATAGAAACATTTATCGTACCGTAAATTCTTAATTTTATAGTACAGGTATTATAGAAAAAATAAAATAATATATCTGATTATTAAAAGTGTTATTTCAAATGTAATCAAACATTAAATTAATTTTTATTAATTTTTAAAGTAACTCTTTGATTAAAATCAATATCAATTTGAATCATAAAAAATATAATTTGCTTTAAAAAAATTTATTAATAAATTCAATGTTTATTTAAACTGAATCAAAGAGTTTGCAAATATAAATAATACAAAACGTGACAATTAATGACTCATTGGAACCGGTTGTTGGCCAACGGGTAACTGTAAACTCTTGTTGAGTCCAATAGCATTCGGATCGAAGACAATATCATCGAGTTGTCGGACACCGTCTTTATCGACAATTGCCACTTGAAATGCGGGCAAATTAATGACCAATCTTTTCTGAATTTCATGAACCACTTTCTTAAGCAGTTCCAGTCCTTCATCAACAGTCAAATTGCTTTTATAATTTCTGTCAAGTATTGAAGTACCGAAAAAGGATCCGTAGCCATGCATACCGTAAGGTACGGCACAAGCAGTGGCCAAATAATCCATAAAATAAAGTTCTGGTTTATTAGTTATCGTGTCATAACCAGCCAATAAAAGGTTCACTTGATATGGAGTTCTTGAGCGAAGATAATCGGCTAAATTGCGTTGAATGAACTGATTGGCTGAAGAAGGACTCAATTCAAATCCATTTCTCATTGAATACAAACTTATATTCTTCTCAATGAACTCTGCAAACTGAACCGTATCTCCGGCTTCTCCATTGACACCGAGCAACAAGTGATCACTCAATGGATACAACTTCTTCTCATCACTTTTGACAACAATTATCGAGTGAGCGGCCAATCGGTCCGAAGCCATCAAACAAAAGTTATCGAAACGGATACCAATCAGTCCCTCCATTAGGTGTCACTAAATAAGATGTAAACGTCTTAATGTTCAACATATAAGTCTTTGACTAACACTTACCTAAATGTGTCTTAAGATGTGATAAATTGATGGATCAAATCAATTGTCAAATTGTTTGTAACGAGAAGTTCAGTGATTCAGCAAAACATTCATTCAATGCATTCATTCAATGCATTCAACACTGCATTCAATGACATCTATTGATACAAACAGTCAAACATTGCTTATCACACAATCTATTGCTACAAACATATAGAGTGCGGTTTCGGATATTTATTTGATTTTAAAAGTGTTATTCAATACAATGCTATAAATACATTGAACCGATTTCGACACTCTGTATGAATCAGTCATTGCTTACACTTTAACCTTAGAGTGAATCTAAACAAACCATTTGTGACCAATTGGTGACTAATTTGTGGCTAATATTTGTGGCACCGATGGCTCAGTTGTTGAGATTAGTATCGCAACCAATCGCTTGTCAATCATTGCTTAAGACAAGCAAAGTATTAGCACTAACAGCCAATTCAACGATTGATCAGAAAAGACATTTATTTGGTAAACTTCGTCGAGTGGACGGAACAGATGTGTCGTCTAAAGACATAAAATTGGCCGAACCTGTAGAGCACGCGACAGGTCTCGAAAAACTACTACTTTTAGCTGAAGAAAAAGGCATTGACGACCCTTTCTGTCTTAAGCCCCGAAAGCGAGGGCCCGGAACTAAAGGTGTGGTCACAGATGATATCAATTGGGAAAACTCTGATAATTTTAATTTGATTTAATTGTTTGGATATAATATTGTAATTAATGTATAATTGGTTAACATATTTGTATTGCAGAGCAACCAAATCTGGTGCCGAGCTTTGAGGACAAACGACTGATTGGTTGTCTTTGTGAAGAAGATCAGACACATCTTAACTATATGTGGGTACATCTGAGTGAACCTAAACGTTGTGAATGTGGTTATTGGTTCAAAGCAGTTCCCGCCCGCAAGTTCTGGGAAGAGATCGATACCAATCCGGGCGCATAAATGGCGACAAATTGTTTTCAACAAAATAGTTATTCAAAAAATTTTGTTTCATTTTAATTAATATTCAGATTATTAACCAATAATTGCTTATGTATTTCAAATGGTAGTTAAATATTAAAATATATGTATTTAGTTATGTATTTCGAAATTATAATTTTTTTGTAAACAGCCATTCAATTAATATTCAAAGATTAAATATATTATTTTATCAGTAGACATAATTGAATATAATTTATCAAGCTAAGTTAGTTGAGTTGGTAACTACTGATATCATGTTATCCATAAAATTTGCACATCTATTGGTTGCTTTAAGTGGCATAAAGTTGTCATTTTTTTTAAATTTTCAAATAGAGTAATAATTTGATGACATTTATTGACTACAGTATTGAATGTATTTATTCTAAAAATATATGTTTTAATAATTACCGTAAATTGGAAATACAGTATATATACAGTATATATATTCATATATTATTTAAAAATATAAACTATAAAATTACAGTACATTTCAATATTAAATAATATTCAAGAATTAAAAAAGTATATAATTTAATAGAATTACAATAAAAGAATTATCTAAACAAACTGTAGTTAACTTTAGAGCAATAATTGTCTCATTTTAAACCATTTACTGTATAAATACACAAATTTATTAGAAATATTTAAAACTATAGCAAAATAGTAAATAAACAGAAATTAGTTTATTCGGATTCACTGCTACTTTCAGATAAATTGATTTCATTTTGAGGTTTTGATGAATTTGATAACATTTTACGCTTTTGACTCACTTTAGTATCATTTTTATAATTTCTCGTTTGCTTACGTTTTCTCTGATTTTTAACTTTTTGTATTAATTTAGTTATTGTTGATGTTTTGGCAATTGATGTCACGGGTATCGACTCTTTTCCACTCAATTTATTAATTGCTGTATTTAATCGTTTGCTGGCCTGAGATATATATTTGGTTTGCACTTGAATTTTAAAGTAACTATCGATAGTCATTTGGGTCTGAAATTAATTAACGATAAAAAAATTAGTTAAATAAATATAACAATAGTATAAATGAATTATTATACTTGTTTTTCATTTACTTTCTTCATAATGGGAAGTAATATCGAATCAGTCTTCTCGAGAGACCATCCAAAGTGATGTCTTGTATAGTCTCTGAGTTCATCGAGACGAGGGATGGACCACAAGAACTTTTCTTTTGACTTATCAACTGTTGGATTCATATAAGCATCAAAAATAACGCGATTAGGAAACGAGTCGTTTAACTTCAACTTTAAGAACTTCTTGCGAATCGAATTATCAGGTCTTTTGTCTTTCGATGTTTGCCTTAATTTTAACCAATCTTTGAAATTAATGAGAGATTTTATGCCATCGCCGGGAAATTCACTTAATATTTCAACAGCAGTTACGGCTCCGACTCCATTGACACCATCAGTATAATCACTGCCACAAAGCATTGCAATACATATCAATGAAGATCGGGATAAACCAAATCTACTCTCTATATCACTGGCTTTAAAAAGCTCCACATATTTACTTGTAGTGAAAAAATTTTTATAAACAGTTTGTGCGCCAAATAATAACACATCGCTATCATCAGTAATGGTGCCATCAGTTAGACCCAACTCTTCAAGTGTCGCACATTGAGCTTCTGCTTCGGTAGGACTCAAGACATAAGGAATACCAAAAAGTTGAAGTAATTGTTGACAGTCTTTCATCATCTGATCTGTCGTATGATTGGCCAAACGGTTTTGTTTATACATTTCATTCATTGATTGAATAATTTCTTTCCGTAAACTCGATTCACTTTGATTTAGTTCAATTGATTTTGAAGAACTGGTTTTTGACAAATCACTGATATTATTATTATTTGACTTTAAGCTAACTTTTGATTCATTTTCTGTCAATTGAGACGATCGTTGACTTGAACTACACTTTTCTCCATCAATTAAATCATTATTTAATTGTAAAGTTTTATCTAAATTATTATTTAATTTGTTTTGAAATCTAAACATATTTTGAATGTTATTATCTTTAATGCGATTTTCTGAACAAACTTCAAAATCATCGTCGTTTGAATCGCTATTCACTTCAATGGTTTTAATTTTTGTAAAATTATTTGTATTACCGGTAATAATATTTTTTATCTCATTATCATAACTGCTTTTTAATGAATTTTGTATTTCATTTTTAAAAACAATTGATTTAATTTCACTTAATTGCCACTCATTTTCAGAATCACTTTTATCTGATAAATCAATTTCATGATTAAGTGAATCTATATATTCTTCATCTTTTTGTTTGTCACTCTTTATACAATTGACGCCATAATTACATTCATTAGTATTATCTTTTACTTTATTTGTGTCCAAATTTCTGATACACTCAAACTCACTGTCAGCATCTGATGTCTCATCTGAAACAATAATACATTCTTCAACCGTGTCTTTGTCTTTAGACACTGAAGAAACATTTGTTTCTTTAGTTAATAAACTATTTAATTGATTTTTGTTATCCTTTTGATGTAAATCTGTATTTACAGAATTTGTTTGCGATTTCTTCAAAAATAAATATCTTGTGTTTTCATCAGACATCAGTCGTCCGGCATTTGATTTGCTCTCAAAACAGAAATCTTTTTTACCAAAGTTTTCAATGATGTCCTCCGAGTGCTGTCCATTCAATTGATTAATTGTATCTTCGATTTTTGACTGAAGACTTCGTTTTTTAATAAGTCTTTGCATTTGATATGAGGAGAAATCATTTGATTCTTTAGGCATTTCATCCATATTTCGATATCCTTTATATTTTTGCTTTAATTCATTCAAAAGTTCATATCTGATATTTGGCGGCAAATTCTTAAAATCAGTTGAATTGAAGTCAATTGAATCAATATCTTGCAAATGATTATAAGTAAATGCAATATTTGGTTCAATATCGTCATCTGAATCATCACTAAACTCTTGCAATTGGTTTTTATCGTTTTGTCGATCACTTAATTCTTGATAAATTTTAAAACTTTGATTATCTGGTAATTGAAATATTGATGACTCAAGAGATGGCAAACAGTCATCAGTTGTCAATTGTTTTGTACTATCTTTTGGTAATTGTAATGATATATAATTTTTGAGTACTTTGAGTGACAATTGACGGCTTTTGTCGACAGCTTTAGTCCGCTGTTCGGCTCTCTTAGAGATTGTGTTTTTCTTGAGTTCAGGACAGCGACCATCAAAAACAAAGACGGGTTTTATTTTGTAAAACAAGAGTTTACATATTCGGTGAAAGAGACTCAACACATGAGCGTTGGCCACCGATTCACCATTTTTTGTCCGAAAACCTTTAATCGACTGATGGATCCAAACAGAGATATCTATCAATAAAATTATTTAAAGTTTTAGTGATAATAATTAGACAAATAGTGTACAAACCGATAGCAATCACTTTGTTGTTCAAAGTCTCTAAATTGATGGGATGTCCGACACTGTCCACAACACTCCACAGACCCGTCACACCCATCGCTGACCACTAATTCAAGACTATTATCACCGATAATACAGTTCTTGTCTTTTAATTCTTAAACAAAACATACAATAAGAGTGACTGAATGTACAGTAATTCATATTTTATTCACAATAAAGACACACATTTGGTACTCAATGTTAATTGTAATTCAATTATTATAATATTAATAGTTATATATCATATAAATTATTTAACAAAATTTATGATTTAATTTAAATGTAAAATAATAAGAATTTAACTAATTTTAAAAATAAATTTAATAAATTTATAGACATTAAAATATAAACAAACCACAAAATATAAAATATATAAAATTTTAAAAATCTTTTATTTCATTAACATAAATTAGTTAAATATTATTAAATAATATATATTATGATTTATAATATATTTATAATTATATGTAAGTATATTTAAAAAATTAATGTACAGTACATGAATGTATGGGAGAATTTTTATTAATATAATAAAATACAGGATTATAATAATTATTTTTGGTAAGTCTATATACAATACGTTATAATACTGTTTCATACATTGATTGTGATATTAATTCCACGCATTTTATACATAGTTTAGGTCCACATTATGTTTATATAAAATACTAAACATGTGTTAAATAATGTGTTGAATGTATTGTTGAAATTTAGTGAAAAAAGCATTAAATTATTGAATGCATTGAATCACACAATCAGTCATTCATTTCATTCATTATTATTATTATTGTCTTAAGTGTCGATCAAAACAAAAACAACAAACACTTTGTTCACACATTTTGGTGATATCATTGTCTTTTCATATCAATGATTGGATCCAACATTTAATGAGTCAATCATTAATATATTGTTGTGTTTGTAACTTAAGTAGTGGTCAGACGAATGTCACAATTGAATGCATCGACATCTAAGAGATTGGTGTCGACTCAAGACAAGTGCCAATTGAAAGACAATAACTGCGTTGAAGTGACAGTCCGTTCACAGACTTTGCAGACATTGAGTGATAAACGAAAAGCATTGAACACTAATAATAGTCTTTGCTATAAAAGACAACGTCTTGACCATCAAGACTACCTAATCAGTGATAAAATGAGTGAAAACACAATTGCTGTCAACAATCAAAATCAGAGGTATTCCTTGTCATCCAATGGTATCAATAAACAGACGCCACTGACCACTACTAACGCCAAACCTGGAGCGGCAAAGAAATTGATTATTAAAAATTTCGGTGAGTTATCAATAGATTTGATAAATAATTTAATTTATTATATATTTAATGATTTACTCATTTGACTGACAATTAAAGAAAAGCCAAAATTGCCGGAAAACTACTCGACTCATACATGGGATCGATTGAAGGAAGCAGTTGTGGCCATCCAGAAGTCGGAACCGGTTAGTACTTCATTGGAAGAATTGTATCAAGCAGTTGGAAATCTGTGTTTTCATAAGATGTCACCCGATCTGTATAAACAATTAGAGTCTTTAGTCGAGATTCATGTGAAGAACTGTGTGGTGCAGTTCCTTAATGCAGATGTCGATCACCTCTCTTATCTGAAATTAATGAATAATTGTTGGCAATCACATTGTAATCAAATGGTAAGCAATGTTTGAATGTTTGTATAAATTTATAATTTGTATTATTATTATTTTAACAGATAATGATTCGGAGTATTTTTCTATATCTTGACCGGACATATGTACTACAAACAGCACAAATCCTATCCATTTGGTTAGTTTTATTCATATTTTTTAATTATATTATGAAATTAAATGAAATATATTTAATGAAATATTGAAATTATAGGGATATGGGATTAGAAATGTTTCGCAAATACATTACAAACGACACTATAGTTCAGATCCGAACAGTTGACGGACTGTTAAAGTTGATTGAAAGTGAAAGAAATGGTGAGGCAGTCGATAGAGGATTGCTTAAGAGTTTATTGCGAATGCTTTCCGATTTGTCAATATATCGAAACGCTTTTGAAATAAGATTTTTGCAATCGACGGAACAGCTATATGCAGCTGAAGGACAACGATTGATGCAATCCATGGAAGTACCGGAATATTTGATACACGTTGACAAACGAGTCAATGAAGAATGGGAGCGATTGCTTCACTATTTAGATCATTCAACGCGCAAACCATTAATACAAACAGTGGAAAAACAGTTGATTTCTGAACATTTGCCAAACATATTATCAAAAGGATTGGATCAGTTGTTAGACGCCAATCGTGCTTCTGATTTGTCTCTGATGTATAATTTATTGAGTAGAGTGAAGGAGGGTTTGGGAGAGTTGTGTTTACACTTTAATCAATATATTAAAAAAAAAGGAAAAGTGATTGTCACGAGTCCTGAAAAAGATAAGACTATGGTTCAAGAATTGCTCGACTTTAAGGATCAAATGGATTTAGTGTCGAATCAATGTTTCACTAAAAATGAAAAGTTTACAAATTCGTTGAAAGAAGCGTTTGAACAGTTCATTAACCAGAGAGCTAACAAACCGGCGGAATTGATCGCTAAGTTTGTTGATTCAAAACTAAGAGCCGGTAATAAAGAGGCGACAGAAGAGGAATTGGAAAGACTTTTGGATAAAATTATGGTTTTGTTTCGTTTTATTCACGGAAAAGATGTTTTCGAAGCATTTTATAAAAAAGATTTAGCAAAAAGACTTTTAGTGGGAAAGTCTGCTTCAGTTGACGCGGAAAAGTCTATGCTTTCAAAGCTTAAGCAGGAATGCGGGGCAGCCTTTACATCAAAATTAGAGGGAATGTTCAAAGATATGGAACTCTCTAAAGAACTGATGTTGAACTTCAAACAATATCTTAATAATGCCAAACCTAACGGTTCCATTGAAATGAATGTAAATATATTAACAATGGGTTATTGGCCAACCTATCAGCCAATGGAAGTACATATGTCCTCAGAAATGGTTGACTATCAGGAGATATTTAAAAGATTTTATCTATCGAAACATAGCGGACGTAAACTTCAGTGGCAGCCGAACTTAGGTCACTGTGTCCTCAAAGCATGCTTTACAGCGGTTCGTGTAATTATTTTTGGATTATTTCAAAACAATAATCATTGAATGTTTATATAATTTTTAGGGGAATAAAGAACTTCAGGTCTCACTATTTCAGGCATTAGTTTTGCTTTTGTTCAATGATTGCGACGAACTGTCTTTAGATGATATAAAACAATCGACATCTATAGAGGACAGTGAGTTACGCCGTACGTTGCAGTCATTGGCGTGTGGAAAGGCTAGAGTCCTAACAAAGATTCCTAAGGGAAGGGATGTCTTGGATGACGACAGATTCGCTTTCAATATAGAATTTAAAAATAAATTGTTTAGAATTAAAATAAACCAAATACAACTCAAAGAAACGGTTGGTTTTTATCATTTTCACACAAATAACTGATAATAATTTATTAATAATTAATTAATTTCGGTAAATAGCAAGAAGAACAGGCAACCACTCAGGAGAGGGTCTTTCAAGACAGACAATACCAGATCGATGCCGCCATTGTTCGTATAATGAAGACAAGAAAAACACTGACCCATAATCTCCTTTTGACTGAACTCTACGATCAGCTCAAGTTTCCCGTTAAAGTAATATTTTATTTTTATTTATCTTTATTTATGAATCAATTTTATCCTTTTGTCTTATAGCCCGCGGATCTGAAAAAGAGAATCGAAAGTCTTATTGAAAGGGATTATCTCGAGAGAGATAAAGAAAATAATAATTTGTATCATTATGTGGCTTAAGATAAGTAAAAATGTGAAACTAAATGATTGTATAATTTGAATATTTATGATATTGTAATCAATTGATGATAAGTATAATATAGTTTGGCAAATAAGTGACGCATATTTAACTTTCATTTAATAAATAAATAAAATGCATTTTATTACTTTTATTTCTTTGTTATTAAATAAAATTATAAAATGATTTTCAATAAATTTTGGAAATCTTTTAATACATATTTTTGATGAGTCTTATACCATATATCTTGAAATCTATTACTAAATAATACTTAGTCTACACTTATTGGTGTTGACTGTAATCACCGCTAATAGATTTGGAAGCACTGTATGTATTGTTAGACTCATGTCTTAATTTAAGAAGTCTATTGAGTTGAATGGCCTCATACTCTGAAGTGGTCATAATTTTGTCAATCTCTGTCTGTAACTCAGGTTTAATCCATTCCAAGAACGATGTATTTTTTGGTAAGGGATCGGGCGGTGGTAAGGATGGTATGAATCGAAATACATGATTCTTTGCAAACCTGTATTTGCTTGAACTACCCGTCTCTTGTGATTTTAATGTGTCGGCTCTTTTATCTTTGGGTTTCTTATCAGATCCACAACAAGAAGCACAGGAACCCATTTTCTAAATATACAGTACTTTATTCTTCACTATTCATACATTTTAGAGGCCTTTAAGCCATTATTTAAATTACAGGTAAAATTTTTTTAGAAAATTCAAATATTTTATTAACGATCTAAACAATTAATAATTAATTACAAACACATATTAAAATAATTTATTGTTTACTAACTAATCGATGAATTTACAATAGCCGAGAGTTGACCGGAAATTGAAAGCATTTGTTGGACACAATTGAGTTCCAAATTAACCACAGAATTAAGTTTATTAAACAAATATCTAATTTCATCGGATCTGTTAATTTGGTTCATATAAAGATCACTTAGCATTAGCGCCACATCCACTAATATACGGTTAAATCTCGGGTCCTTAAAGTAATTTAACAAAAATCTAAATATAGGTCGAAGTTGTTTATCATTTCTGGCGGCCAGAGCTGCTCTTAAGGCTCCTCTTCTAATCAATTCTTGCATAAAACTTACGATAACTTCCGGTTCATTGCTGTGTTTATTAAGAACTGTGTTAAGAGCTGATGTGTGGTTAAACTTTTTAAGCGCTTCTTCATGTTTCGACAATTTCTGATATTTGTGTTTTCCTTTAACGACAACGAATTGTTCCAAATAATCTATTTTTCTCTTATTTGTCTCCGAGTCAACTAACTGTCCGTTAAAATAACGATTTCTGAAGCGTTTATTATATTTGTCAATCGGTTGTTGTTCTTCTGTCTTAAATTTATTGACAGAAAAGAGTCCATCATTTGCACCGACAGCGAGTACTTTATCATCCAAAGCACAAGAGAGTAGTTGTGATGGTGTATATGTGAGAGATGTGGCGATATTAAAATTGCTATCATAAACTTTAAGATGTCCATCAATTGATGCGGTCAACAAATATTGACCGTAATTATAGACACAAGTTATGGTCTTATGATGTGTTTTGGATAAAGTTTTCAAAACCTTTCCAGCAATCAAATCATATATCTTTATAGCGTCTCCACCGGCAGCTATAGCCATCATATTACGGACAGTAATAGATTCAACGGGTGATCCAAAGTTAAACTCATTTACCGTCTTCAGTGGTGATCTTTGATCCCAAACTTTTACTGTTTGGTCATAAGAACCGGAAACAATTGTTGACGAGTTATCCATGACATATGAGGCCCTAATGTAGTCATTGTGTGCGCTCTTATTGTCACCAAATGTCGTGATAAGTGCTTCTTCAGTAATGTCCCAAACTTTGATGTGATAGTCGTCACCAAATGAGATGACATTTGAATTACCCGAAAAATGACTTCTTCTAACAGCTGATGAATGTTTTAATGTCTTGTGTTTGCTATTGAGACCCAAAGCTCTCAATGGCTTACTATTAGTGATGTCCCACACTCTGACTACACCGTCAGCACCGCCACAGACAATAAGTTTTGAATCTGATTTACGATATGTTCCGCCGTATAGTTGTACAAAGTTCGGGGCAGAGAAGGATCGTTTCACTTCCATACTATAGTATTCATAGAGTGCCAGTCGTGATGAAGAGGTCACCAAAATATCGTGAGAGTGTTGGCCAATATCCATGCAATTGATACCCGAAAACTCTTTGGCCACTTTTGCCGAATCTAACAAATTTTGCCAATACTTTGCCGAATCACTCAGAGGTTCAACAATTGATGGCAAAGTTGCCAGAGTTGTTGTCTTGAAGTCAGTCATGTCTGTAATGAGTCGATCACATGTATTGTCACCGAAATTGATTCAGATGTATGTCTTTTCCAACACCACGTGTTTCACCTGTTTTGCATCAAAACACAAATAAATGTTTTAAACATCAATTACGTCAAACAGATATAAAGTCCATTTAATATAAAGTCAATACATGTTTTTGTCTGTATTTTGACGTTATTTATAACACAATTTATTTAAAAATCAACTCATATTATGATAGTATTTACAGACTTATAGTCAATGAAAGCATAGATTACTTGAAAGTGGTTTTGGTTTTGAAAAAGTAATACAAAAATACATTGAAATCAATGTTTTCCTCAAATTAAATGTCAATTCAATTGATATATGTTTTACATTAAACACAAATCAATGCATTGTTTGCATTGAAAGTCAAACACCAGTTGTTGTAAATATGAGTCAATGTTAAGCATAACCTCAAGGTTTACAACACTGTTGTCAACGGGTTTTACAGTGACTTTTGGTGACAAGTCTTACACTAATTTAGTCAAATTTAGTCGATATTCAAATCAAAGATCAATAATGACTGCAAATCCTGATGTCTTTGCTTTAGCCAAAAGAGACGCCGCTTTTAAAGCGGTTGACAATCACTTAAAGGTGTGACCCATGAGCTGATCCATAAGATATTTATTATTTATGATATTTGTTCAATAATAGGATGGTATGAATGTAGGCATTGGTAGCGGAAGTACTATAGTATTTGCTGTCGAGAGGATCGTCCAAAAGAAATTGGATGTCATATGTATTCCCACTTCTTTTCAGGTCTTTTACCACCACTTATCACATCATTTCAAATGATATCTAATAAAACTTTTGATTTCAGTCAAAGCAATTGATTCGCGAAAAAGGATTGCGTTTAAGTGATTTGGAAGAGACTACACATCTGGATGTAGCCATTGATGGCGCCGACGAAGTGGACACCAAGACATTGGTTCTAATCAAAGGCGGCGGCGCAGCGCTCACTCAAGAAAAGATTGTAGCGATGGCTGCAAAAGAGTTAATAATTGTCGCCGATTGTACTAAAGAGTCTCAATATTTAGGACAACACTGGACTAAAGGATTGCCTATTGAAGTGATTCCAATGGCATATAAAGTGGTGATCAATAAATTGGAACAACAATTGAATGGAAAAGCATGTCTTCGTATGGCTAAAGCTAAAGCTGGTCCTGTAGTCACAGATAATGGAAACTTCATAATTGATTGGATATTTCCAATCAATGAAAGTGAAAAAAGGGATATAAAGTATTGGACTGAAGTTAACACCAAAATCAAACTGATTGCTGGTGTCGTCGAAACGGGACTTTTCATTGATATGACTTCTGTTGTTTATTTCGGATCAAATGATGGATCTGTGAAAACATTAAACAAAAAATAGTCAATTTTTATATTTACATATATTTACAATTATTGCTAAAATCATGTTTTAATTATTAGACAAATGTTTAATCATTTTTATATTACACTGAATTTTAATAGTTTTATTAAATGAATAAATGATTTTTATAGTGCATATCATGAGATGCCGACACTTTAATCACTTGAATCTCAATCTAACGACTATATCATCGATTATATTCACAATTTGTTATCAAATAGTGCTTTCAATACTATTGTACAATATATGAGATATTGTTCAACCATTGGTTCAACAATTTCATTGTTTTCTCATATTAATCAATAATCGCTTTTATATAGCTTTTATTCAACAAATTATGTTATATTCAGTAATCAAAATAACCATTAATAACATAATAATCATACGTTGACTTAAAGCTAAAAACTATTGCTCAGACAAATCGTTTATTGTTTTATACAAATTGCTTTCAATTATTTTTTTAAAAAGTTTATTTATCTTTTTATATAATTATATACAGTATATATTCACATATATTGTATATACGGTATTAATTGTTACTAAAATGGATTAAAAAGGCAATGAAATTAAGAGTTTTATACTAAATATTTTTAACCATTTAACATAATTATCAAATTTAGAGTAATACTGTATATTATTAAATAATTTTTACAAATTTATTAATTACAATCACAGTTTCAATTGTAAATTAAATATTAAAAATAAGATTGTTTTTCTTAGACTAATATTTACTAATATTTGATTAATTGAAAGGTTTCACAAATTATGTTGCATTCAAATAGTTTTAATAAAAAACTTATTCATGAATTGAATTTAAATAATGATAACTCATATTCCTTGGAGTCATTCAATTATATTTACATTTATTTATTTACATATGGATTACATATCATTGAGATTGTGGTTAAAAGAGGTGACAAACTTATCACATAATCAATAAAATTTTAAAATTAATACTTGAAAAGCATTTTATATTCAGATATTACAGTAGATTATTATACAGTATATACAGTATTATAAATTAGTATTTGAGATAAAAAGTTATAACCTTTAAAATACTGTATTGTATTTAGAAATGTTTAAAATGTTTTGAGTCTATAATTAATTTTAGTTTAAAAGAAACTAATGATTAAATATACTTTTATTTGATTGCATTCTTTTAAATAAATATTACTTAATATTTTTACAGTAAACATATTGTATAAGTAGTAAATCAAATATTAAATGTTTATAATTTAAAATAATAAAATAGCATTTTATTAAAATTTAATGTTATTTAATATATATTTTTATGAAATGATATGTCAACTAATGTCAGACAAAAAAGTTAATAAATAAAATTTGTTAGTTATATGAAATCTTTCTAAATCTAGTCCAGTTGTTAACAACTTATTATTATTTAGTTTCTAATTTTATTTTAAAATGACTTATCGCTAAAATTAAAAAAAATTATGATACATTTATAGGAGTGTTATTTTTATCATTTATTTTATCTTGTTAAATTGTATAAAAATCATATAGTTGTATTATTATTATTATTATTATTATTATTATTGATTTAATTGAATATTTGTAACCAAACTTATTTATGATAGACAAAGATTTTTTGTTTTCAATAAACTTATATTTGTATGACTAAGGGATTGTGTAAATAGAAGTGAAAACTGTGAATAAGATAACATCAGTTAAGTCACAAAAATTTCATATATTTTCTATAAGTTTTTCTGTCAATGCTTTTCTAGAATTAAATATCAATTGGTTTTTATCAAAAATTTCAAAATTAAACCAGTTGAAAATGCTAGAAAGCATTATCTAAAACAAATTTTTATTGCGTAAATTACTTGTTATTGTAATATAAACAAAATATTTATTTCTGATAACCATTAGTTCATAAGAGACATATTATTAAACTATTAATTGACAATATGTTCATAACAACGTATTTATATTGAAACTATATTTATGATCCAATATTTCTGCTGATTTATGGATATTTATCAACCATTTTATAATAAAATAATTTATTGTTATAACTTAATATTATAATTAACTGCATTTAGATGTTTAACTCAAATTTTGATAACTAAGACTTAATTTTAAAAATTTATCCGTCATTTTCTCTGTTCCTGAAGAGATCAAAATTTTAATTCTGATTCCTATATCTTACTTTTAATATTTTATTCAAATCTAAACTTTAAAATTTTTAACTAATTTTTTTGTACTTTGGCCGCCATTTTCTCTATGTTCCTGAAGAGATATCAAAATTTGAATGCTGATCCGATATATCTTATTTTCGATGATCTAATTGAATCTGAAATCAGAATTTCAAAATTCGAAGTTTGAAAATCAAGACACCAAACACATATAGAATCCATAAAACAAATTTGAAAAATTTGTTTGAAAAACAGTATTAATTTCTAAAGTCTTAACTAAAGTTATTTTAACTAAGTTTTAAGTTTTCAATATTTGAATAAAAATATATAATAATAACACGAATTTAATATTAAATAATGGTTTGAGCAAAATATAATGATATGTAGATTTTTGAATATAAATAACACTATTTAAATTGTGACCCTTTTTAAATTAATTTAAAACTTTATCAATAGTGCTATTTGAAAAAATTATAAAATTTTCAAATAATTGCTGATATGAGTTAAAATTTATTAAAATGTTTTTTATACTCCCCAAAACATGTGAGAGATGCTATTTTTCCGAAAAACTGTCCTGGATCTTAAATTAAATAAAAAATGTTCACACTGTCAATTAAAAGGTTTTATTATAAACTACAGAGAAATAAAAAAATTTATTTATTCTAAAAAACTTAAAAATATAAAAATCTATTTATTAAATATAACTTAAGTTAACAAGTTTTTGCAAAATTTTAAATTTCTACGAACAACACTATTGATGAAGTTTTTAATTATAACAAAATTAAAGGATTATACATTTTGTACATAATTAGTGTTATTTGTATTTAAAAAATCAAAATGTCATTATCTTTTGCTCAGTTCATTAATACACTTATAAATATTAGTTTAAACTTGTTTTACACACTTGTAGTACATATTAATACTATAAATTTATATTGCATTTATTATATAATTGATATAACTTTCTCTAAATACTTTATAAATTGTTTAACAAATGATAATATACTGTATTAGTTAATTAATATAATATATTGATTGATTAATATATTATACTATAATAACTACCAGTTTGCAAAAATAAGCAAAAATTTATACAACAAAATAAACAAATAACTAACAATTAATTTTACAATAAATTGAAAACAATAGTGGATTACATGGAAACTCATGAATTGTAATGAAGTTTGCTTATCATTTAAATGCTGGCATACAATGTATTCACAATGAGATTTATAGTGATTTAATCATAAAATGAAATAATGAATTTTAAAAACTCAACAAATTTTACATAAAAAATAATATAATTTTTAACATTAAAATTCATATTTAATATAAAAATCTTAAATACTATTTTTATTTATTATTAAACTTTTAAATAAAGTTTTCATTTTTTTAAAATGTTAAAAACAAAATAATTTTATATATAATTAGATAATATAAAAGTATAAGGATTTCCGTAATACTCATTATAGAGTCTAATAATTACATTATAAACATTTTAATATAATATATTAATATTATATAATACATTATATGATACATGATTGAGATATACCATTATTAAATGAACATCGGTTACAATCAATAATAATTAAATGATAACATATACGATATAATTTAATAATTGTTTCTAAAAGTTATTATTGACAAACCAATTAAACTACCGATTAATTGGGTTAATACAACTCCACCTCTTTTCATATAAAACGGCGTAAAATATTAAACAATAATTAAGTTTTAGTTATTAACTAAATTTGATATTAAAACCAATTAAGGGTTTTTGTGTTAAGGCATGTGTAAGACGTGAATACATAGCTGTTATAATTTACATTAAATATTTTTATTGCTAATAAAATTATTAATCAATAAATACATTAAAGCCAAAAGCATAAGTTTAATATTAAATGCATCAAAATTTTAAAATTTATTGTCAATTATAAATTTTAATAATAGTAATAATAATAATTGTTGATAATTAAAAAACAATACAATATTAGCAAATAGTAAGCAAGTTGTTGACAATTCAATGACTACACTATTTGCCATAAGTTATAATTATAATATTATTTTCATTTCTATTGCTTACTGATGTTTTTAGTTTTAAAATAACATTTAGTTTACATTATTTTTGTTGAATAACTTTATTGAGAATTTAAACAACGATTTCATGTTATAAAAAATAAAGATTTTTTTGTTGTTGAATTAAATGTAAAGTTAGTTTTAAATGAAAAGTGTTTTTATATGCCTTACAGTTATATTATAATTCATTTATCTTTTGACGTTTAATTTTACAGAGCATTATAAACAATGAATTTAAGTTAACTTATATATATATCACGGTTAAGCAAGGTTTTGGATTTTAGGGGGGTAGACCGGGGTAAAATTTACAAAATTCTCAAAAAATCTTGGGGGGGGGTCAAGAGAAAATTTTCTAAAATTCCCTTAAATTCCCGAATATTCCCATGTAAATTCCATAAAGTTCCCATAAGTTCCTGTATAAATTCCCAGGAAAATAGATAAAATTTCCAAAAATAAAAAAAAATTTAAAATTAATAAAAAAATTAAATTTTAACAAAAAAAATATTTAAAAAATTAAAAAAAAATTATTAACTTAAATTTTAACAAAAAATAAAATAATAATGTATTTAAGATTTAAATATAGTTGATAAAAGCATTAATGATACACTATGAGTTATTTTTAGTATTTTAATAATTTTTAACTTTTAACATAATTAAGTTTTTAAATAATACTTAATGTTTATAGTTATATATTTTTATTTTTTAAATGTTATTTATATACAAATATTGATTGAATACTAATTATTTAACTCAATTTTCGTTAGTTTTAGTTATATTATTATAAAATTGAAAATATTTTCAATTTTTTATTTAAAATTTTAAAAATTATTAATAAAAACTTTATAATATAAATATTTATTGATTTATTAACTTTTTAAACTATCTTAAATTTCTATTTAAATTGTAATATGATTACTTTTT